GGCTGTCCAGTGGACTAGCCAGATGTTGTAATCAATCACACCCAGTCCATCATTTGACAAATAAGACTTTAGAGCCGCCTTGCCCCAAATGGCAACTAGACATTCCGTTTTCGCAATTGTAACCTCAGTTTAAGGAGCCATTTGGCACCTAGCTTATATATCTGAGTTTCTAACGCTGGATGAGACTCCAATAAAGCCCACGTTACTCTGCTTCTGGTGAGAAGACCCCAGAAAAGGGATATGAGTAGGTGCACTTGGGTGGTTGATTTACTCTTGAGAAGACATGGGGACAAATTCCTGGTCTCCTCCTAACCTACCTCACAGCATTATTGTGAGGATAAAAAAACGAGGGAGGGAGAAAGGTGGAAGGACAAAAGCCACAGACACCACCTTAAGCTCTGAGGGGATAATGTACACAAATGAGTAAATAAATTTAAATCTACTAGGAAGATTAGAAGGCAGGCTTATGTTTGGTTTCTTACTGAGGAGGCAATATAGAAGGAAAGTTATTTGTGTGTAAACAGTAGAAGAGATTCTGCCACATTCTCTTTCGACCTGACCTGCTCCACTGGGCTGTGGTTATGCTAAAAATAAGGGAGAGGGAAAGAGTGGAAGAGAAGAAAGGGACATACACATTTAAGCATACAAAGAGAAGGAGATTCTTATGTTTAGTTTGTCTTTAAAGGATTGATATGGAGAGGAAGTTCTTGGTTGGGGAAAAAAATCTCTCTTTGTACCTGACAAGGTTGTTGCAAGGATTAAAAAAAACAGCAGGAAGAGAAATATACCACACCCTGAGTTCCTTAGAAGAGAGAACAGGGAGATGATGTTTGAGACTGTAAGGCCCCATTTAAGGCACTAAGAGCTGTTAAGAGATACTTATTCCCCACAGCTACAATTCCCAGAGTTTCCTAGAAAGAGGGATTTACTGTTACACAACTCTGGAAATTGTAGCTCCGTGAAGGGAATACAGAGTCTCAGCACCTTTAACAAATTACAGTTCTTTTGGGGAAGTCATGACGGTTTAAAGTGGTAGGATAGAGCCTAATACTGTATACATATATAGGTTGCCATGTTGCACACATCTGTAAATGTATGTGCATAACATTATAGTGACAAATAAGCAGCAATGTATATTTTGTATACTCGTTCTGAAATTTTCTACAATCAAGCGGTATATTAATTAAAAAAAAATAAAATCTACATAGCTAAGCAACTGCAGTTGTATTACACACATAAAATAAACATATATACACATTCTTGTGTGTGTGTGTGTATTATGTTTGAGTGTATGCACATAAACATACAGGGTGATGCCCATAACAGAACTGTATCCAACCAACCCCTACTCAGAACAGACCCATGGATCTAAGTTAGCCATGTTTATATACTCAAAGCAGAACTTAGCTGGACACAACTGAAAGTTAAAGGCACACAGGGATAAACCTAGATGAAAGTCAACAAGGAAATGAAATAAGGATGCATGCACTTACAACATGAGTTTCATCCAACAAGATGCTATGCAAAGCAGATCCACTGCAGTTAATGGACCTCAGAAGAACTTAAAATTTCAGAAAGGATAGACTACGGGTGTTTTAAGTTTGTGTTTTAAAAATAGTAACGACAGGTTATATTTATGCCCTTTTATAAGAGTAGAACCACTGGTATCAATGGGCCTTAAACTCATTTAATTTAAATGGGCCTACTCAAGGGTGCAAGTAACGTTGGATACAACCTATACCAGGGGTCTGCAACCTTTAAGACAAAAAGAGCCACTTGGACCCGTTTCCGAAGAAAAAAAAACTGGGAGCCGCAAAACTCGTCATTATAAAAATAACTTTTTTGTCACTTTTTTTTTATTTCTTTGTTTGACCCCTCAGAATTACTCCTCCTCATAGAAATAAACGTTAAATTAACAAGTTACCTTTTTTGTAACTCTTCACTCCCCTTCAAAACAGTGACCAGCGTACATGCCCCCTTTCAATGCAGTGACCAGCGTACATGCCCCTTACAATGTAGCGGGCGGGCGGGAAGGTGACGTCGGGACGGTGCGTGACTAACGCACGCACCGCCCCCATGCGACGCCACAGCCAGTACAGCGCCCGCCACAGTGGGGAGTGTCGGGGCGCACAATGTGCCTCCTCCCCTCGTTAGTATCCGCCCCGGAGCCGCGGCAAAGGTGTAAAAGAGCCACATGCGGCTCCGGAGCCGCGGGTTGCAGACCCCTGACCTATACTGTAAACTGAAAACCAAAGATGCTGCTCAGGGGCTAAAATAATGCTGTATCAACTGAAATTAATAGGTTGCATTCAACTAAGTTCTACTCAGAGTAGATCTGTTGATGTCAATGGCCCCAAGTCAGTAATGCACTTGAATTCTAAGTGATGCCACCAAAAATCAATGGCCCCAGGTAAATCATGGCTATTTCACAGAGACACAAGTAAATTTCAATGAGTCTACCAAGGATACAACCCAGAAGCTAATACTAAGGATGTAAACCCACTGCAGTTAATTGGTTGAACCAAACTTGCATCCTTACTCAGAGCAGACCACTGAAGTCAATGGACCCATTAGCGGAGTCATTTATCTCCAATTGGTCTACTCAAATCAAGGCTAACATTGGACACAACCCATTAACTTCAATAGGCCCCCATTCTTAGCATCCATTTATGGGCTGTATCCAACTTTAGTAACAACAAATCCATTAAAAATTATTTACATTTACATTACACAAAATGCACATAATTTCCTTAGGTCCAATGATTTCTCCAGTGGATCTACTCTTGAGTAGAACTTAATGCTAAGACATTATGGGTTGACCCTGAAGACCTATTAGAATGAAATGGGCACAACTGACAGCTGGGCCTACTCACGAGTGAAACTTCGGCTTCAACCCAGGACGCATGAAGACATGAAGAGAGGGGACTCATTGGAATGAATGTACATGGTTTCCTTAAGACACACTGAGGGTTTTTTCCTGGCAAGTCTACTCTTAAAACTTAGTTTGGATTCAACCTAGAGAGAGAGATGTTCTAATGTATTGGTTTTAATGCATCTCAGTGGGGTTTTTTGGTTGGTTGTAAGTTGTTCAAGGTTGCCCTGGTCAAGATAAAGTGAACAACAATTTAATAAATAATAATAAATATATGTATGTATATGTATATAGCTGTGTGTGCCTGTGTATGTGTATCTATTGGTATGTGTGTGTCTATGTATACAGATGTATATGTTCACTCACTCTATGCACATATAGAATCTTAAAGAATTGGAAGGAACCCCGAGGGCCATCTAGTCCAACCCCCCTGCAACGTGTGAATCTCCACTAATGCACCCACGGCAGATAGCTAACAAACAACGTTGCAGATGGTGCCAAAGACTATTCACGTGCCCTTTTCTTCATCGGACCTAATTTATTTTGTTCAATAACTTGTCTAACGAATTGCGATTATGCAGCAATTATTTTGTTCAATATATACATACACGTGTGCGCGCGCATGCACATTAAAAGGTTAAGACCCCTGGGTGGTTAAGTCCAGTCAAAGGCGACTATGGGGATGCGGCGGTCCCCATGAGATACCACATGGGGGACGGGTGTTGCAGTTGCATCTATGTGGTAGCTCAGACTCGGGCCATGGGTTCAAGCCGCACATTGGGCAAAAAACACACATTCCTGCATTGTGGGGGGAGGGGGTTGAACTAGATGATCCCCCTTGGTTCCCCCCAACACTACGATTCTATGATTTTAGTTTAGATAGAAAGATTTGTGTGTGTATATACCTATAGCTATATACCTACACACACACACACACACACACACACACGTGTATTTGGTCTGTGTTAAAGCCATGGTTTTCCCAGTAGTGATGTATGAAAGTGAGAGCTGGACCATAAAGAAGGCTGATCGCCGAAGAATGGATGCTTTTGAATTCTGGTGCTGGAGGAGACTCTGGAGAGTCCCAGGGACTGCAAGAAGATCCAACCTCTCCATTTGGAAGGAAATCAGCCCTGAGTGCTCACTCCAGTACTTTGGCCACCTCATGAGAAGAGAAGACTCCCTGGAGAAGACCCTGATGTTGGGAAAGATGGAGGGCACAAGGAGAAGGGGACGATAGAGGACGAGGTGGTTGGATAGTGTTTTCGAGGTTAGCAGCATGAGTTTGACCAAACTGCGGGAGGCAGTGGAGGACAGAGGTGCCTGGCGTGCTATGGTCCATGGGGTCACGAAGAGTCGGACACGACTAAACGACTAAACAAATATTATGTGTGTGTGTGTGTGTGTGTATATATATATATGTGTGTGTGTGTGTGTGTGTGTGTGTGTATATATGTATATGTATATATGTGTGTGTGTGTGTATATATATATATAAGTTTTGTGTGTGTGTATGCATACACACACACACACACACACATAAAAGAATGGGGGTGGTCAGGGCAAGGCGGACATTCAAAGGAGGCCCCGTGGAGGTTTTTTGGTTTCGGTTCGGTTCCTAACGGGCAGCGATATGCATCTGTGGGTATACATTGTGTGTGTGTGTGTACACACGCATATATGTGTGTATATATATATATATATATATATATATGTGTGTGTGTGTGTGTGTGTGTATGCATATATATATATATGTATGTATGTGTGTATATGTATATATATATATATATGCATATATATACATATATATAAATTAGTTTTATATATTATATATTATATATTATTAGTTCACACACACACACACACACACACACACACATATATATATATATATATATATATATATATATATATATATATAAAAGAATGGGGGCGGGCAAGGCAAGGCGGACGTTCAAAGGAGGCCCCGTGGCGGGTTTTATTGTTTCTTTCCGGTTCCTAACGGGCATTGATTGCGGGTGGGGATGTCGGTATGGGAAGCGCCCCCCCCTTCCCTCCCTCCCCCCCCCACTCCGGAGGGTGTGTGTCCCCGTCCGCGCGCGCCCCTCCCCCCCTCCCTCAGGACTGACCGAGCAAGAGCAGCTTGAGCTCCCGCCGGGCGTCGCGCTTGTCCCTCCGCAGCTGCTTCTCGATCTCGGCGTTGATGCGCTTCGACTCCTTCACCTCGTCGCTGAGGCAACAGGCCATCATGGACTCCAGCGTCATGGCTGCCGCCCACCCGCCCACCGGCGGCGGCGGCGAACGGGAGGGAGAGGAGGCGGCGGCGGCGGCAGCGGCCTGGCTCCCTCAGCTTGGCCGGGCCTCCCTCGCTATTTCTACCGGGGCGGTTCTGGGTGGGTTTTCTCCCCCCGCCTCCGCCGCCGCCACCTCCTTCCTTCCTTCCTCCCCTCCTCCTCCTCCTCCTCAGCCCCAGCCGCACGCCGACCTAACTTGACGCGCCTCAACCCAACCTCGAGCGACGGGCGCCGCGGCCAATAGCAACGCCGCGCGGCGCCGCCTGGGAGCGCCCGATTGGACGCGCGCGCGCTTCGGCTCCGGCCTTACCCACCCACATCTCTCTCTCTCTCTCTCTCTCTCTCTCTCCTCGGGAGCCAATCGGCGCGCGAGCCCCCTCAGGCGAGAGGCGGGCCCCGGCGCGCGCGCGGCCGAGGCGAAGCGATTGGCCGAGCGGCCGCGCCCCGGCCAATGAGGTAATGGCGGAGGAGGGGCGGAGAAGGGTTGGGTTGTTGTTTTTTTGGCACGCCGACGTGCGTTGAAGGTTGGGAGGAAGGCCCCGCCCCCTTTTTTTCCAAAGCAAGGTTGGTTGGTTGGTTAGATAAGAGATTGGGAGGGGGAAGGAAGCGAGGAACGGTTGGGGCGAGCGGGCCGGAGAGAGGTGCGCAGGCGCGCTAGCGGGCAGGGCCGCGGAGAGTTATGGGTCGCTGGAGGACTTAACGGGGGGAAAGAGAGGGAACGCCTAGAGAGGTCACATTTTTTTTAACAAACCGTTTATTTATTTTTTAAAAAAACCTTTATTTGTTTTAAAAAATTATGGTGGAAGCTTAAACTCAGGGCAGTGGGAAGATTATGGGTCTCTGGAATCGCCTCATATAGGTTAGGCCTCAAGCATGGGAAGAGTTAAATGTGTTCCTGAGCATGTGCAGAGTATTTCTCCCCTTCACTTCTGAATTTTGGGAACTTCTCCCTTTCCCCCCATTTTTTCAATTTTTTAATTGGTTTTCACAAAATTATAAACAAACAAACACATAAAATAAACACAAATCATAACCTTATTAAAAATTAGACTTATTAACATTGTTAAGTGACTTCCTCGCTTCCCCTTGCTTGAATTTCATTGAATGTCCTTTTAACGGTTTTCCAAATCACAGTTGAACTTGAACATTTACATCCTTAGATCTTTTCATTTTGAAATTAAACATATTAATTCATCACTTAACTTAAATAAAATCCTAAGCCAATTAAGTAGCTGCAAGCTGCTTCCAGTTAATTTAACTTAACATATTTAACCAAATAATCATTAAATTTAATCCAGTCTTCCTGATACTCCTCCTCCTTCTGGTTTGTTTGTTTGTTTATAATATTGTGATACGTTTGATCTTCTTGCAGTCCATGGGACTCTCAAGAGTCTCCTCCAGCACCAGAATTCAAAAGCATCCATTCTTCGGCGATCAGCCTTCTTTATGGTCCAGCTCTCACTTCCATACATCACTACTGGGAAAACCAGAGCTTTGACTATACGGACCTTTGTTGGCAAGGTGATGTCTCTGCTTTTCAAGATGCTTTCTAGGTTTGTCATTGCTTTTCTCCCAAGAAGCAGGCGTCTTTTAATTTCGTGCCTGCTGTCACCTTCTGTAGTGATCATGGAGCCCAAGAAAGTAAATCTCTCTCTGGACGTCCTAAGGAAAAGATGGACATTCCAAGATTAAGTCAGAAAGTGGGATGGCTTCTCTAAGCTGTACCTTCCCGCCGGAGCGGTACCTATTTATCTACTTGCACTCTGATGTGCTTTCGAACTGCTAGGTTGGCAGGAGTAATGACCGAGCAACAGGAGCTCACCCCGTTGCGGGGATTCGAACCGCTTACCTTCTGATCGGCAAGCCCTAGGCTCTGTGGTTTAACCCACAGCGCCACCTGCGTCCCATGTTTTAATAAACGAACCTAATTTAGTCATGGCCATTAACAACAATGGGTCCACTCTGACATGGTGGATTTGAATTTTGCCCGCCAACCTCTAGGGTGACGCGTAACCATTGCTTCCTACAGGGACTTATGGAAGTCGTAAGACCAAACATCTGCAGGGCATTAAATTTGCAGCAGGCTGGTTGGAGCCGTTGCTCTGGCTAAGCAAAGGCCGAAATCCAACACTTCTGTATTTTGGATCCCATCACTTCATCTTCCCGATGAAGCAAAACCCCATTCTTCCACCTGTTCCTTCTTGTGTGGACTTTGTGTAGCCTTGGACGGTGCAACGTAAGGTAAAGGTAAAGGTAAAGGTACCCCTGCCTGTATGGGCCAGTCTTGACAGACTCTGGGGTTGTGCGCCCATCTCACTCAAGAGGCTGAGGGCCAGCGCTGTCTGGAGACACTTCCGGGTCACGTGGCCAGCGTGACAAAGCTGCATCTGGCGAGCCAGCGCAGCACCCAGAACGCCGTTTACCTTCCCGCCAGTAAGCGGTCCCTATTTATCTACTTGCACTTTTGACGTGTTTTCGAACTGCTAGGTTGGCAGGCGCTGGGACCGAGCAGCGGGAGCGCACCCCGCCGCGGGGATTCGAACCGCCGACCTTTCGATCGGCAAGCCCTAGGCGCTGAGGCTTTTACCCACAGCGCCACCCGCGTCCCCTAGCAACCCTAACGACCCGATTATCTTTAAATCGCCGGGAAATTTTGAGCGAGAGAACTCTGTCCGAGTTCGTTCTCGTTTTCTCTGTCGCTTTGGAGAAGGCACCAACTCTCCCAGGTCGGCACTAGGAATTGCTGCCACGCTCTCTCCTACTTATCTCTCACGTGCAGTTTGGATTCCAAAGCTGAAGCAAGATAATTCAGGACCTTGAACTCCCATGAGATATACATATCCTCCCTTCGCCTTGACTGCGAGAAGAACCCTAAAACCCCCTTTTAAAATCCCAGTCTAATTTGGAGAGATATATGACTGGTTCGCCAGAAGCGGCTTAGTCCTGCTGGCCACATGACCCGGAAGCTGGACGCTGGCTCCCTTGGCCAATAAAGAGAGATGAGCGCCGCAACCCCAGAGTCGGCCACGACTGGACCTAATGGTCAGGGGTCCCTTTACCTTTACCTTTTATGACGCTGTGTTTTAAGGGTTGTATTATCTCCTCCCGGTTGATAAGGTACACTTCTGAATTCCAGTTTGCTAAGGAATCCCAAGTGAAGAGATTATTATTATTATTATTAAGGGCTCACAGGTGCATTGTGGTCCTGAGCCTTTCTCTTCTGACTTAAAGCAGCATTATTATTATTTTTAAAAAGGGAGGGCTGAGTGCTTTGCATGTGCAAAAGTGATTTTTTTAGACAATAGTACCTTTTCTTTTGGACGCGGGTGGCGCTGTGGGTTAAACCACAGAGCCTAGGACTTGCCGATCAGAAGGTCGGTGGTTCGAATCCCCGCAATGACGGGGTGAGCTCCCGTTGCTCGGTCCCTGCTCCTGCCAACCTAGCAGTTCGAAAGCACACCAGTGCAAGTAGAGAAATAGGTACCGCTCCGGCGGGAAGGTAAACGGTGTTTCTGTGCGCTGCTCTGGTTCGCCAGAAGCGGCTTAGTCCTGCTGGCCACATGACCCGGAAGCTGTACGCCGGCTCCCTCGGCCAAGAAAGCGAGATGAGCGCCGCAACCCCAGAGTTGGCCACGACTGGACCTAATGGTCAGGGGTCCCTTTACCTTTTCTTTTAAAAGCACGTGTCACAGAAAAAGCGATATACAGTAATTGCAGTTCTTGTGTCCCCCTTTCTCATCAGCAGAGGTCACTGTTGCACTTTGGATGATATTTCTGTTAAGTTACGGCTTTTCCCTCCCAGAAGAATTTCAATTCAGAACAGTCCTTTTTAGGCAGCCCTTATAAGGTCCTTAGCTCCACCCAGGTGGCCTTCCCAGGAGCATATCGGCATTGGTTTTCTGGACTTCAGGATGAAATACCCTCAGACCGAAGCATCCTCTGCACATCTTGGGGTCCAGAGGTGACAATTGCTGGGCTCATTGTTAGCCAAAGGAAGCCAAATCTCATCACCTGACTCGCCTCAGGCTCCAGACATGCAAAGGAACTTCTATTGTACTTTTGGGTGGTGGGTACTTAAGACATATTTGTCTATGCTCATCTTATACCTGAGTCTTGCCCTGCCATGTCTGCTTATGCTAATCTGGTACCAAGGACTCGTCTGGACATGTTTGCCAAGGTTAACCCCTCCCCTTTCGTGACATGTCAGTGATGTAGCAATGATGCTGTACGAACTGTATTCTGGGATATGGTGGGAAAGTTTTGAAAGTCTTTGTCACCCCATCCTCGGGGTTCAAATTTGCTCTTTGAACCTATTGCGCAATAAACTTTGGTCTACAGCTATTTGCTCCTGTTGGCTGGGCTCCTTCCTTTATTCCGCAGGGACCCGCGGGCTCTGCCCGACGAGCTGGAGGACTGAGCAGCCTCACACCTAGATTTTTCCGTAACACCTTCTTTCGTTGAGGACCTTGCATCAGTTGCATCGTAACTCTAATCGATTACCAATCGGTTGCGTTTCATGGAATTGTAGTTGTGGAAAGACGTACACCAAGGGTCATCTAGTCCAGGGATGTCCTATAGGTCGATCGCGATCTACTGGTAGATACACGGGAGGTATCTACTGGTAGATCGTGGTCGATCGCTACTTTCTCCATCTGTCCCCGGCCCCTCGCTCTGCGCTGTAGATCGTGATACCGGAAGACGTAGCTCTCGCAGCGAGGCTGACTGTTTCATTAGAAGAAGAGTTTGGATTTGATATCCCGCTTTATCACTACCCGAAGGAGTCTCAAAGCGGCTAACCTTCTCCTTTCCCTTCCTCCCCCACAACAAACACTCTGTGAGGTGAGTGGGGCTGAGAGACTTCAGAGAAGTGTTTATATGCAATAACAGCAGCAAGAATATTATTGGCCCAAAAATGGAAGGGAGAAGAGTTACCGACGATTGAAGAATGGAGGATGAAGTTAATGGACTATGCAGAATTAGATAAACTAAGAGGAAGGATTCGAAACCGGCGAGACCAGAAATTCACGGAAGACTGGAGTAAATTTACGGACTATTTGAAAAGTAATTGTGAAGAACAGACGACGTTTGTAGGGTTGCAAGAAGTTTTGTGAGGAGTATTATTAGAAGTATTGCAAAAATGGACAAGGGGGAGGATGATTTGTTAAGAGATGTAAAGGCAATATAAAGTTAAGAAATGCATAAGAAGTAGTTAAAACTGTGGATCATCAGAGGTGCTGATGGAAGTCTAAAAAGATTGTATAAGTGATAAGTTTTGTGGTACGTTTTATAATTTATATGTTAAAATTAATAAAAAATATTATTTAAAAAAAAGAGAGAGAGACTTCAGAGAAGTGTGACTGGCCCAAGGTCACCCAGCAGCTGCATGTGGAGGAGCGGAGACGCGAACCTGGTTCACCAGATTACGAGTCTACGGCTCTTAACCACTACACCACACTGGCAAAGCTCAACAACTTTGACCTGAAACCACCACCCCAAAGAAGTGGTAGATCACTGCCAGTTTTTAATTGTGAAAGTAGATCTTGGAAGTTGGCTGTCCCTGATCTAGTCCAACCCTCTGCAATGCCGGAACCGCAGGTAAAAAAATAAATACTGTCTTTTTCGCTCTCTAAGATGCACCAGACCACAAGACGCACCTAGTTTTTGGAGGAGGAAAACAAGAAAAAAAAATATTCTGAATCTCAGAAGCCAGAACAGCAAGAGGGATCGCTGCACAGTGAAAGCAGCAATCCCTCTTGCTGTTCTGGCTTCTGGGATAGCTGCGCAGCCTGCATTCGCTCCATAAGACGCACACACATTTCCCCTTACTTTTTAGGAGGGGAAAAGTGAGTCTTACAGAGCAAAAAATATGGTAACTGACTTCGCTGTATAACCAAGGCAGTGGCCAGGCCCCAGCGTGGACTCCAGGGCTTCAACGGCTTGCAGCTTGTGCTTATAACTGCTAGAAAGAGAGAGGGGGGGATAGTTTGCTCTTCTTCCCTATCCCTCTGTTTTCAGTAGCAACAACTGGAACCGCACACAGAAAAAAGCATTGCACTTTCCTGTCAAGAGTGAAAAATGCTCTTTGCATCTCAGGCGGTAAATGGGTGATAATTACAGCTTAATCAGCCTGCAATGCAAATATTCTAAAGGAGGGGAGAGGGGAGGGAGGATTCCTGCCACACAAGATGTATGGAGTTTAATTATTTCAAGTCACTGATAAGGGAGGAGGGTGGTGGGAATGATTTGTGGGTATATTCTTTCTCAGCTATAACCAACCTTCCTCTCTCCCCAGCCCCCCAATCTTCGCCTCTTAACTGTTGGCTTCATCAGAAACATGCCCCCCCCCAAAACACACACTTTATTAGCTCTCAAAACACAGGAAAGTGGGCAATTTTAAATGAGAGGCACCGGTGGGTTTGATTCTCTATGTCTTCTCCCTCCCTTCGTCCTAAATAGCAGTGGCCAAAGAACGCCCTTATTTATTTTGCCGTCTATAATAATAAAATGCCACTTAAGCGGTGAGGCTTTTTTATTAGCGCTAAGCATCGTGGAGTATTTTACGGGCAATTATTAATTAATTAAGCTTTGGAGGCAAATGGGAGGGGGAAGGGAGAGGAAGGAGGAAAGCTCATGGAAGAAACGATCTCTGCTGCCCCATGTTAGATGATGGCGGAACGTGAATTGCGAGGACAGCAGCTTATTTCTTTTGTGAATTCTAAGTGGTTTACAGTACAGTAAAGGTAAAGGGACCCCTGACCATTAGGTCCAGTCGTGGCCGACTCTGGGGTTGCGGCGCTCATCTCGCTTTACTGGCCGAGGGAGCCGGCGTACAGCTTCCGGGTCATGTGGCCAGCAGGACTAAGCCGCTTCTGGCGAACCAGAGCAGCGCACGGAAACGCCGTTTACCTTCCCACCAAAGCGGTACCTATTTATCTACTTGCACTTTGCCGTGTTTTCGAACTGCTAGGTTGGCAGGAGCAGGGACCGAGCAACGGGAGCTCACCCTGTCATTGTGGGGATTCGAATCGCTGACCTTCTGATCGGCAAGTCCTAGGCTCTGTGGTTTAACTCACAGTGCCACCCGCGTCCCTTACAGTGCAATAGAAAACAAACAGAGAGGGCCCACATATATTACAAAGTTGAAACATTTGCATGTTTAAAAAATAATTATCTGTTTATAGAGAAGACAGTGCCATGGTTCACCTGTAGCAGCAAAACTGGATGTCTTCATCAACCCCACCTGCAACTAAAGCATGTCCTCATGTAGTGGTCTCTCCAGCCACAGAAGGCTGTAATTCTGCAATACCGGGGTGTAAAGTTGGGATGCGGGTGGCGCTGTGGGTTAAACCACAGAGCCTAGGACTTGCCAATCAGAAGGTCAGCAGTTCGAATCCCCACGGCGGGGTGAGCTCCCGTTGCTCGGTCCCTGCTCCTGCCAACCTAGCAGTTCGAAAGCACGTCAAAGTGCAAGTAGATAAATAGGTACCGCTTTGGTGGGAAGGTAAACGGCGTTTCCGTGCGCTGCTCTGGTTCGCCAGAAGCAGCTTAGTCCTGCTGGCCACATGACCCGGAAGCTGTACGCCGGCTCCCTCGGCCAGTAAAGTGAGATCCCATTGCTCGGTCCCTGCTCCTGCCAACCTAACAGTTCAAAAGCACTTTGCCTAGGGCAAAGTTGGCAGATCTTGTTCGTGGCAGATAGCTTGGGGTGTCACATTGCACATTGGCCCTGGAGGACTGAGAAGGCTGGCTATCTCCCACTTGGACTACTTCCATGCGCTCTATGTGGGGCTACCTTTGAGGGTGACCCAGAAACTACAACTGATCCAGAATGTGGCAGCCAGACTAGGGACTGGGAGCGGCCGCCAAGACCATATAACACTGGTCCTGAAAGACCTACGTGGCTCCCAGTACGTTTCCGAGCACAATTCAAAGTGTTGGTGCTGACCTTAACAGTCTCGGCCCAGTAGACCTGAAGGAGCGTCTCCACCTCCATCGTCCAGCCCAGACACTGAGGTCCAGCTCCAAGGGCCTTCTGGCCGTTCCCTCATTGCAAGAAGTGAGGTTACAGGGAAGCAGGCAGAGCCCCCTGGATGAGAAGCTGCACTTTAAAGCCCAGGCCAGCATCCCTATTGGCTCCTGAGGAAGGTGGGAGGGTATGTCGTCTCCTGAGACACAGGGATGCCAGCAAGTCCCACTGCAAGAAGCCAGCACTGAAACAGGCCAGATCTCTGATTTGGAGAAATAGGATTTGGGGGTGGAACCCCAGCACTGCATGTAGAAGAGTAGACAGATTGGTGGTGTTACGGTAAAATCTGGGTGCAAGGCTGCTCTGCCACCCAGCTCGTCGGACTAGGTCCGCGGGTCCCTGCGGAGGAAAATGAGCTCAGCCGGAGACAGGAGCAAACTGCAGAAGATCCAAGTTTATTGCGCAACAGGTTCAAGGCGAGATTGAACAGCGAGAAAGGGGTGACATGAACTTTTGAAATTTCCCTCCATATCCCAGAATACAGTGCAAAACACATCCCAGTTACATCATGAATACATTAAGAAGAGGTTGGGTTACACAGATTACATCACGAATACATTAGGAAGAGGTTGGGTTACACCGGATTAACATATGGAGGAGGGAGGGGGGAATATGCAGAGAGCTGGAGATATGCACAGATAAGCACATCCTGAGAAGACAATGGTCCATGTATGCATAGTCTGTCACCTGGCATCGCCCAGAGGAAGGGCTTGGCAGAGTGATTTGACAGGATTAGGGTCTTGACACCTTGCTTGAGGGATTATGGAGGACAGGGGAGGTGTCATGGGGTCCTAGAGAAATTGAGCAAATTGGCACGTTGATTTTCTATGAATTTTATAGATTTTAGTCCCTTTTGACATTGACAACTGGAAATAAATGGATATATTGTAGCGAAGAAGGAGGTGAAGAAGACATGCCCCCCCCTTCCGTATCAGTGGGGATCTCTCAATGTTTGACTTAGATCATAAAAAGCTCCTGATTTCAAACCCTCCCCTCCCCACAAGTCCACAACTAGGGAGGGGTGAATCTGTCCATGGGGGTGTCTCCCAGTTTCTCATCTTCCCACTCTTCAGTTCAATACACCACACATACACATCAGTTTGCAATTCAAAAAACCACATTTGTGTGGATGCATTAGCAGTTTATTGTGAATTACTCTTGAGATACAGAGTTGCATGCAAGTTTGACAAACTGGCACGTCTTTGCAAAGCGATTTCCCCAAAATAAGGCATTATGGGCAGGCTCCTTTCACTGCTACGCACACTGACAGACACACCTCATTCCAGTATCTGCATTTTGGTGCACTAAACTTGCCTGGAGAGCCAAACTGCAAAATTCAGAGGAGGGCGAATTTGAAAGGATGGCTGCGTTTCGGATCTTATTCCAGAAAGTGTGAATGTTACTTTTGAGCTGAATTTAATTTCCCCCCTGTTCCTCTGGTATGTCACCCCAACCATTAGCCTGGAGGAGTTTGGCATGTGAAATGGAAAACTGGCAACTTTTAAGGCTCACCCCTTTTTAATGCAAACAAGGGTGGAAATCTGGGGGCAAAAGGGTGAGAGGGATTTTCTTCAAGGGGACGGGAGGCAGTGAAGGCACTTGCTCAAACACCATCCTGTATGAAACATCTGATAGATCTTCCTTTTTCGCCGCCATCGAGGGTGTGTGTGTGTGTGTGTGTGTGTGTGTGTTGTTGCAGAATGCAAGCCAAGCAGGTTATCAGCAAGCTAAAGCATTAGAAAAAAAGAAGCCACAACGTCACTGCGAGTGCTTTTTCATGGTTTCCTTGATCCATGGAAGGTAATGGCCAACGCGAGTGTAAACTGCTGGAGGGCAGGGATTGCCATTCGAGACGATTCCTTCTGCCACGCCATCGCACACCAAGGGGCCACCCGAATCGCCCTGTGGAGAGGAGAGAGAGAACAAAGATGGGAGCTGGGGGATGATTTGGATCCACGTTGTGGCAAACTCTGGAGGTTGAACCAGGGCAAGCTGCTGGGTTCCTGTTGGTTGGATCAGTCAGTTCTGAGAGGAGACCTTGGTGGACATTCCCCCTAATACAGTGGAACCTCGGGTTGTGAACGTGATCTTTGCGGGAGGAACATCCGCAACCCGCCCCACCCGCGCGGGTCACGATTCAGTGGTTCTGCGCATGTGCAAAGTGCGATTTAGCGCTTCTGCACATGCGCCGAAACCCGGAAGAAACCCGTCCCGGTACTTCTGGGTTTGGCGCGGTGCACAACCCAAAATCGTGTAACCTGAAGTGTCTGTAACCCGAGGTACCACTGTATACACATTTTGGAGGGCAATGTCTTTCTAAACTATTGCATTTTGTACATTAGTTTTACGAATATATGCATTTCTATGTGCTCTTTCTGCTAGTGCACTCCTTTATGTATATATTATTTGAGTGGAGAGCTATTGATCAAAGATAGCTAGATGATCGAAGATAACCGAATTTCAGTTCCGCTATTAGTTCAGAAAGCAATCAGTTCTGCTTGTGTTCAAAATGTGAACCAGACCAAAGTTGGCATCCCATAATATTATGAAACAATGAGTGTTGATTTCAGTGGGTCTGCTTTCAGTAGGACATAGGGCTCGCTTGTCCCGTTCGAGCAGTTCCCCCCTTGCCCCTCTCCATTCCCAGGGAAAATCAGCTCTTTAGCTCTAAATCGGAACAAACAGCAATCTGCAGAAAACTCCTTCCTTGTTTGCTCGGATTCAGCTCCACAGAGCGGTTTTCTCCTGGAAAAGCAGTGGGACAAGAGGAATTGTGCAGGAGCCCTTGGCAGGATGCAAGCCTAAACAACTCTACCTTCCCTTTTTGGGGACCCATGGAGCTCCTGTGAAGGACAGAAGTGAAGGGCATCTTTCAACATCCACCCCTGGGAATTGGCAGACATTCTATGAAGCCACTGGGTTGGTCAGGCCAGGTGTAAGTAGACTCACATCTGCCCATGTCTATTTTGCTGCTAAAGGTAAAGCTAAAAGGACCCCTGACCATTAGGTCCAGTCGTGGCCGACTCTGGGGTTGCGGCGCTCATCTCGCTTTACTGGCCGAGGGAGCCGGCGTACAGCTTCTGGGTCATGTGGCCAGCAGGACTAAGCCGCTTCTGGTGAACCAGAGCAGCACACGGAAACGCCGTTTACTTTCCTGCTCGACCTATTTATCTACTTGCACTTTGATGTGCTTTTGAACTGCTAGGTTGGCAGGAGCAGGGACTGAGCGACGGGAGCTCACCCTGTCACAGGGATTCGAACCGCCGACCTTCGAATCGGCAAGTCCTAGGCTCTGTGGTTTAACCCACAGCGCCACCCGCGTCCTTTTGCTGGAGAGGAGAATAATTCCTCAGAAGGGTGGGATCCGTAACTGGGGAAGACATGCAGCTCCCTCCCCCCACCTTATCCCATCACTTGCTGCTTCTGCTGCCTCTCACCTTGAAAACAGTCTCAGGATTGTCGAGTCTCCCGGCACAGACCTTCCCATCATTGAGATCAGGATAAGGATTCCCGTTCCTACTACAACCAGAGATGGCGATATTGGTCTCATAGAGTGTTGTTGGTGCCCAGTCTTTGTAAACCCCGCCCCATCCTGCCACGCTGCAGGGCGTCCCATTGGAGAGGTAACGGTTAGACTTGGGCAAGCGCAGGATCTGGACATATTTATTCAGAGTAGCTTTGGAATTCAGCTGTGGAAAGGAGAGATGGGAGAGAGCTCATTGGTCTAGTGTTGCTTGAGGAAGCCCTTTGGGGAATCTGGTGCCTCTGAAATGGGGAACTTTGGGCAAAAGAAATCAGCAGACTGCATTGATAATACCAAATGATAATATTACGGTATGGATAATATTAAAGGCGCACGTTTAACTGGGTGGTTGTACCAGCAAGAGTCTTGTGACTGCGATGGGACTTCTCCACTGCACCCCCCCAATCTGCTTTGTGGCAAACATTTCAATACCAAAAGAATACAACTGAAATCGCTTTTAGAAAAAAAAACATTCCCAGAATTAGATAAAATCTCCTACAAGCAACAGCCTGCTCCGAAATTAATGATTTCTGGGCTGCCACGGAAGAGACTTTTGGTCATCCAATGCCAGGATAACCTGCACAAAATCTACTTCATTATGCTGCACACATTGGGATGGAGGGAGAGCCTTGACCCCTTCTGCCTTCAGGATCACTGACCTCGGGGGAAAGATAGAAGGAGAGATTGCATGGAGCAAGTTACCTTGAGCAGATGGATATCGTTTGAGGTGGTGGACCCATCATATTCAGGGTGTGGGTAGTTAGCCTCAATGCTGAACACTTGCCGAGAGGGTTCTTCAGCGGAGATGTTATGTGCCCCCAAGGTGACCGTATAGTTCCTGGAAACAGAGCATCAGTTAGTGTCAGAGATTCCAGGACTCAGTCCCCTCCTGGCCCCCGTGCAAAAGACCAGGCTCCCTCCATACAACCAGCTGTGAACCTTGATGGTTAGGTGGTCATCTGTCATGGGTGCTTTAGCTGACCAGAGGACCCTTGCAGTCCAATTGTATAATTCTCTGATTCTATGACCATCCCTGCTAAAAATCAGGGAGGGAATAGTGAGACTTACTCATCGCAGTGTGCAGCCGTCATTACCCACTGGGGCGCCACCAGGGAATCCACCGCAGAAGCTCACGGGACTCCTCAAGTAAGCCATGTAGGGTCTGGAGTGGGGCTTGGCTTCGTTGCCCCCCAACAATCTGACTCCGCAATGGATCTGCAAGAACCGTATGCAGAGATCAGCTCCTCCTCCTCCTTGCATGTTCTGGGGTGTCCTCCACACTTCCAAAGTATTGGGGTGGCAAAAGGACAGGTCACCGTCCCAATGAGCTTACTATTCATTTTCCTAGCAAGGAAGTTAGAGAAGCGAAAGCACTGAGCAGCCTAGGAAGACGCCCTTCGTTCCATTAGCTCAGGATTCTCCTGCAAGGACTGCCAAAGTGGCTCCCAAGGAAGAAAGATCTGGGTCTCCCCAACCTGGATATGCTGTTGCTGATTGAAATTGGGACTTTTGCAATGCAAAGCAGCTTCTCTTCCACTGAGCTGCAGTCCCTCCCCAAGGAAAAAGCAAGGAGAAAAAAAGCAGGGCAGAATCATGGGATCACAGAAACTAGTCCAACCCCCACACAGTGTCATTTACCTTGGTGGGTGACTAAACCCTGTTAGTAGATCCCCCAGCCTTAGTCTCAGCCCTGTATTGATTCAGCACAGATTCCCCTCTTATCATGCCCAGCTCAGATTTTAGTCTGTGCCCTGATAGAACAGGAAGCCTCCAGGAACTGTTGTGGCCTGAAATCTGCTTAGAAAAATGAAGAATGGGGCTGGGCTTCATGCCCCCCAACAATTTGACTCCGCAATGGATCTGCAAGAACCGTATGCAGAGATCAGCTCCTCCTTCTCCTCCTCCTTGCATGCTCTGGGGTGTCTTCCACACATTCAAAATTATTGGGGGAGCAAAAAGGACGGGTCACCATCCCAATGAGCTTACAATTGGTTTTTCTAGCAAAGAAGTTAGTGAAGCGAAAGCCAAGAGCAGTCATAAGAAGACCCCTCCATCCATTAGCTCAGTATTCTCCTGCACGGACTGCCAAGAGGGACTCATTCTGGAATTGAGATACAAGTCTCATAAAGTCATTATTACGATTGGCAGACAAACTCTGCATTACAAAGGGGTCTGCTAACATGAAGACTGGCAACATTAACCTTACCATGTGGGAATCCCTTGCAGATGACCACAGTGCCTGGAGACAGACAGTCAAGTCGTGACCAGAGAGGAAGGACGGCTGGGAGGAGGATTTCAGGGAGAAGAAACCCCATAGTGCATCATCTGCCATGGTGCTTTTACTCACCTGTTTGGGCCAAGGAGAAGGACAGCAGCAGCAGCGGAAGAACCTGGCGGAGTCTCCAACATCTTGATGCTTGCCAAGGAGGGAGATGCCTGGCGCTTAACTCTTCAGCCTCTCGACCCCATGGCTTTTATGGCCTCCACCCTCTGGACTCCACCTTCCCCAGGAAGCCACAATCTGGACTTGAGATCTGATAGGCAGGCTTATCGTTTCTCGCTAGCTACGTGGCTGGTCCCACCACGAACGGCAATCAGATAGTCAGGTGGGGAGATTGGGAAAAATGAGAAAGGGAGTGATCCCAGAATTGGAGACTTTTTAAGCAAAGGTTTACGAAATCAGAGGAGCGAAGATAATGTAATTCATTAAGACAAAATCAGAGACCAGCTTTCGATACACTCGAGTGGCTGTTACTATTAATTTCCTCTTCTTCTTCTTCTTCTTCTTCTTCTTCTTCTTCTTCTTCTTCTTCTTCTTCTTCTTCTTCTTCCTCCTCCTCCTCCTCTTAATTAATTAATTAAATTTGTATGCTGCCTTACTTTGTGACAGCACACTGGATTCCTAATGGTTTCTGTGGTCGCTTGGTTGAAAGGTGCAAAGACTTTTACATCTGTTTTGTGAACTGATCAAGAGACTTGAGGTCCTGGTGGTTCTGCGCTGAGTTCATATGGTCTTACATGTCACGGATTGATGAGCGACTGGATTCAGATGCACAACTATAGGATGGGGGATACCTGGCTTACTAGCAGTCCATGTGGAAAGGATCTAGGGGTCTTGGTGGACCAGAAGCTGAACATGAGCCAACAGTTTACAAAGACTGGTCACCAGACACACTCTATGAGACCAATGTCGCCAACTCTGACAGTATGGGAAGCCGTATCCTAATCTCAATGATGGGAAGGTCTGTGCTGGAAGATCCGACAAGCCAGAGACTGTTTTCTTTTTCTTTTTTTAATAATTTTTATTGATTTTAACATATAAATTATAAAATGTACCACAAAACGTATCACATATACAATCTTTTTGGACTTCCATCAGCGCCTCTGATGATCCACCGTTTTAACCACTTCTTATGCATTTCTTAACTTTATATTGCCTTTACATCTCTTAACAAATCATCCTTCCCTTTATACATTTTTGCAATACTTCCAATAATACTCCTCACAAAACTTATTGCAAACCTACAAACCTCGTCTGGTCTTCACAAATTCTTTTCAAATAGTTCATAAATTTACTCCAGTCTTCCGTGAATTTCTGGTCCCGCCGGTTTCAAATCCTTCCTGTTAATTTTATCTAATTCTGCGTAGTCCATTAACTTCATCCTCCATTCTTCGATCGTCGGTAATTCTTCTTGCTTCCATTTTGGGGCCAGTAATTTTCTTGCCGCTGTTATTGCATATAAAAAGAGCTTAAATTCCTTTCTGTTTATATCACTCCCAACAATGCCCAGTAAAAATGCTCCTGGTTTCTTTATAAATGTATATTTCAACATTTTTTTCATCTCATTATATATCATCTCCCAGAAGCTTTTCACCTTTTTACATTCCCACCACATGTGTTAAAATGTTCCCTCTTTTTCTTTACATTTCCAACATTTATTATTAACTTTATACATTTTCGCTAATTTGACGGGTGTAATAAGCCAGAGACTGTTTTCACGGTGAGTCAGCAGAAGCTGCAAGTGACAGGATCGGAAGGGGGAGAGCTACACGCCTTTCTCGTTATGGATCCCACCCTTCTGAGGGATCCTTCTCCTGTCCAGCAAAACAGACATGGGCAGATGCCAGCCTACTTATACCTGGCCTCAGGGGCGTAGGAAGGGGGTGTCATCCCTGAGGGGTGACAAAATAACACACCGTGGGGGTGGCACTTACCGTGGGGCCTGGCCTGCAGCATGCCCAAGCCACGCGTCTCTCCAGGCGGACTCCGTGGGCAACTTGCCACCGTGCCCCCTGGGCAGATCACCCTGCCCCCCATCCATGGATCACTGTGGCACCCCCATGGGGGGCTCGCCCCACCCCCAGTGCTCTAGGTTCCGGAGCAGCTAGCTACATCCCTGCCTGGCCTGACCAACCCAATGGCTTCATACAATGTATGCCAACCCCCAGGTACAAAAATGCATTTGATTAGAAAGCCATTGCCTACCAAAATGTGTATGTTAGGGAAATCTCGTACCTCGTACCTACAGGACTGCCTCTCCCGGTATGCCCCACGGAGGACCTTAAGGTCCATGAATGGCAACACCCTAGAGGTCCCGGACCCTAAGGAAGTCAGATTAGCCACAACCAGAGCCAGGGCCTTTTCAACACTGGCCCCGGCCTGGTGGAACACTCTGCCTCATGAGACCAGGGCCCTGCAGGAACTGATTTCTTTCCACAGGGCCTGTAAGACAGAGTTGTTCCACCTGGCCTTTGGTTTGGAGCCAATTTGATTCCCTCCGCCTCTTTCTTTTCCTTTCTCCTCCTGTGAGGCTACATTTTAATATTTTAATGTTTCAATATTTTAATGTTGTATTTTAATCTTGTTTTTAACTTGTAGTCATTCAACTTGTTTTTATTACTGCTTGTTAGCTGCCCTGAGCCCGGCTTTGGCTGGGGAGGGCGGGGTATAAATAAAAATTATTATTATATTAAATGGCCACCAATATTTCCATTCAGAATTGACAGATCCAACCAGCAGAAACCTGGCAGTTTGCCCTGGCTCAAGCACCAGAGTTTGCCATGACATGGATCCAAATCTTCCCCCAGCTGCCATCTTTGTTCTCTCCTCTCCACAGGGCGATTCGTGTGGCCCCTTGGTGTGCGACGGCGTGGCACGAGGAATCATCTCGTATAGCTATTCCTGCCCTCCAGCAGTTTACAGAACGCAAAGTCCAAATCTATGCCAGGCTGAAGAGGGAGGATGGAGGAAGGTGGAATCATCTAAAGGGAGGTGCGGTTAATCTTTGGCCATCCAGATGTTGATGGATGTCAATGCCAGTCGCCCCGTATTGGCCAAGTTGTCTGGGGCTGATGGGAGTTGGAGTCCAACAAAATCTGGAATGTGACAGGTTCGCCTCCACTGACCCAGAGGACGAGGAGGAGATCTGTGGAACTTTGGTCTGTCCAGACATTTGGACAACGGTGGAGAACCTTTGGCCCTCCAAAGGTTGCTGGAGTCCCATCAACTGCAGCAAAAATGGCCAATGGCCAGGGATAATGGGTGGGTTGTTGCTTTGGTCATCCATCTGGGCCAAAGAGAAGGAGTAGAAGAGGCAGTCAGAGTCTCCACATCTTGATGCTTGCCAAGGAGGGAGATGCCTGATCTTAACTCTTCAGCATCTTAACCCTTGCAGCTTTCACTACCTCCACCCTCTGGACTCCACCTTCGCCCGCAAGCCGCAATCTAGACTTGAGATCCGATAGGCGGATTTCAACACATTTATCTTTTCTCTCCAGCCACTTGACAGACCCCACCCCACCCATCGATGGTAACCAGATAGCAAAACGATTTGTGCGGTTTGGTTCTGTTGGCGCCATATAAGGAGACTGGGGAAAGGAGGAACGGATTGAACCCGGATTTGGCAGAGCTGCTCATCCGTCGCTGGGGCTGATGGGAGCTACAGAAGAACAACATCTGGAGGGCCAAAGGTTCCTAACCTGTTGACAAATGGGATGATGGCGGTCATAACAGTGTGAAGCATGTGCTCGCTTGCCATGCTTGTAGCTCTTGTGTTTTTTGTAGCTCCCTTGTGGAACTCAGCAGAGAGCAGGATGGAGAGGAAACTGGAATGAGCTGCCTCTCTGCCTGACCAGCTGTTGGGCTCCCTGATTTACGGGCCACCCATCGCAAGGGACAGCAGCTGCCAGTAAAAACTTTGATATGGGGAGTGTTATGTACTGAATTTCTCACCCTGGGCCAGCAGGGGGATGCTGTAAATAGTTTTTACTCAGGTCCACATATGCAAATAAGGGATCGAAAGTGATGTTCAGTGATTGGATAGACACAGAAAGTTGTTACAGTTACGTTGTACTGGAGCTCTATATAAGCAGGCTGGCTGAACCCTTCAGTTCAGTTCTGTTCTGGCTTGTGAATAAACAAGAGCTGTTTGAAGAATCACTGTGTCGTCTGATATGTCCACCCACAACTTAACAGGGAGCTTGGCAGTAGATCCCCTGCTTTGCATACAGAAGGTCCCTGTTTCCATTCTGGGAACCTCTAGTTAAAAAAGGACATGGTCCGCGATGGATGATGCCCATTGGGACTGGCGAGGAGGAATGTGGAAAGATTCAGCACAGAGCAAAAGCAGGCCATCTTTTAGCACTGCATAGTGAAACTCTGGAGCTCACCTCCCAGTTTCTAACGTTCATCTTTGAGAACCAAGATACCACTGATCTTCTGCTGATGCAGCCTAGAATAGTGTTAGCTTTTTTTGCTACTGCATAACACTGTTGATTCACATTAAGCTTATGTTCCAGCAATACCCTTCATGCTGTTGTGACCGCCATCATCCCATTTGTCCTGGGGTTAAGAACCTTCCGCTCTCTGGATGTTGTTCTCCTCCAGCTTCCATGAGCAACTGCGAGAGATGGGCAGCTTTGCCAATTCTGGGTTTCCGGGCCCCATTCAAGGTGCTCATAAGTTCGTGACTTGTAGAACTATAGAATCATAGAGCTGGGACCCTGAGAATCATCTGTTCCAACCACCTGCAATGCAGCTGCCCCATACGGGGACCAAAGATGGAATTTTAGCTTCTTCGGCATCAGGTAGTGCAGGCCTTTTGGCGCTGTGGGTTAAACCACATAGCCAAGGACTTGCCGATCAGAAGGTCGGCGGTTCGAATCCCTGCGACGGGGTGAGCTCCCGTTGCTCGGTCCCAGCTCCTGCCAACCTAGCAGTTCAAAAGCACACCAGTGCAAGTAGATAAGTAGGTACCGCTCCAGCGGGAAGGTAAACGGCCTTTCCGTGCGCTGCTCTGGTTCGCCAGAAGCGGCTTAGTCCTGCTGGCCACATGACCCGGAAGCTGTACGCTGGCTTCCTCAACCAATAAAGCGAGATGAGCGCTGCAACCCCAGAGTCGGCCACAACTGGACCTAATGGTCAGGGGTCCCTTTACCTTTACTATCACAGGCTGAGCTACCTTGGTTTACAACCATAATCTGTTCCGGAGGTCCGTTTGTAAACCAAAACAGGTTGTAACCCAAGGTGCGCTTTCGCCAATGGGGCCTCCAAAAAAAACGTGTTCGTAATCCCCCAAAATGGGTTGTAATCCAAAAAGAGGTTGCAAACCGGGACACGCATTTCCGGGTTTGACGTGTTTGTAAAGACTCTCCTCCCTAGAAGAGAGGGGAGTGGTTGTGGGCGGGAGCCCGAGCACCGCCCCTAGCAGGGGGCATTAGCTTCCTGCCTCCTCCTCTCACCTGGCTGGTGCCCACGCCCCTCGGCAGGCATCCAACCAGGTGTCTTCGAGGGGGTGTGTTCAGCAGCCTTTTGCGGCGGCGCCAGCCTCTCCTCGGCCTCATTCTTCTCCGTCCTCTCGTCGCGAGTCACCCGCCCTCCACTCCCCTTGAGCTCAGGGTCTTTGTTCTTTGGCCTTGCTATGGACCTTAGGTTGGTCGCCCTGGTTGTCCGGGGGGCCTGGTAGGAAATTTTCCATTTGGCATTAGGCTTTTTGGTTTTTTCGCCTACCTCGTAGCAATCGTCACAACTTTTTGTGGTATTGGTGGGTAGGTTAGGCATTGGAATAATGTGTTGTGGTGTGTCGAAGGGCTAGGTGTGGCCATCGCCTATGCCTTCCATTTTTGGGTATTCCGTTAAAGGAATCTGGTGGTTGTGTATTCTGTCCGATGCCTGCTTGGCGGGAGGCCATGGCACGACCCTCGGTGACATCAGGAGAGAGCTTATAGTTGGATTAGCATCAACAGGCTCCACCTTCTGGTGAATAAACCCCCTTGTTTTAGAGATCCAATGCCTAAGCCAATACCTTTTCACTGCTGTAATCAATAAAGTTGTGGCCTTTTCTTGCCCATTAACCTTATATCACGTGTCCTTGTCTATTTATTTCACATTGCGGGGGTCGGGTCCTCGAACCACAATCCAAAACGCATGCAAACCAAGATGTGTGCAAACCAAGGTACCATTGTGCGCAGGTGATGAAGGTCAGGCGGCTTGGATTCCCGCGTCTGGATTTAGATTCTGCATGAAGCCTTTCTATTGGTAAGGGAGAGGTTCTCTGCATACAGCGAGGCAGCACCCCAATCTTTGCACACACACCCAAAAGTATTTCGACACTAAGGGTTCACTCTGTTTCCCCTTTCCCCAGCCTCCTTATCTGGCCCCAACAAAACAAAACCCCACAAACTGTCTTGCTATCTGATGGCCATCGATGGGTGGGTGGGGTAGTAAAGATTCGCCCATCAGATCTCAAGTCTAGATTGTGGCTTCCTGGGGAAGGTGGGGTCCAGAGGGTGGATGTAATAAAAGCTACGGAGTCAAGAGGCTGAAGAGATAAGCGCCAGGCATTTCCCTCCTTGGCAAACAACAAGATGTGGAGACTCCGCCAGGTTCTGCTGCTACTGCTGTCCTTCTCCTTGGCCCAAACAGGTCAGTAAAACCCACTAACTCACGAATCCATTTCTACTACACTTGGGAGCCAAGCCAACCTCATTCCTTCTGTTTCTGATGCTTAGGGTGCTTTAAAGCCCTAAACGGTCTCGGTCCAGTATACCTGAAGGAGCGTCTCCACCTCCATCGTTCTGCCCGGACACTGAGGTCCAGCGCCGAGGGCCTTATGGTGGTTCCCTCCCTGCGAGAAGCCAAGTTACAGGGAACCAGGCAGAGGGCCTTCTCTGTGGTGGCGCCCACCCTGTGGGACACCCTCCCACCAGATGTCAAAGAGAAAAATAACTACCAGACTTTTAGAAGACATCTGAAGGCAGCCCTGTTTAGGGAAGCTTTTAATGTTTAATAGGTTATTGTATTTTAGTGTTTTGTTGGGAGCCGCCCAGAGTGTCTGGGGAAGCCCAGCCAGATGGGCAGGGTATTAATAAATTATTATTATTATTATTATTATTATTATTATTATTATTATTATTATTAGAGTGCTGTTTGTATGCCTAGATCAATGTCAGGGCACCCGCTTTGTATTGCACAAGGGCTAAAGGTTCCATCCCCAAAATTCGGATCTCCAGGTTGGGACAGTGAACTGTTCTCCTGCCCCATGGCTTTTATTTGGCACATATAAAAACATAGTAAAACATCAAACGTTAAAAGCTTCCCAATCCAGGGCCACCTCCACATGTCTTCCAAAAGTGACATACAGTGGTACCTCTGGTTAAATACGCTTCAGGTTACAGACGCTTCAGGTTACAGACTGTGCTAACCCAGAAATAGTACCTTGGGTTAAGAACTTTGCTTCAGGATGAGAACAGAAATCACACAGCAGCAGCGGGAGGCCCCATTAGCTAAAGTGGTGCTTCAGGTTAAGAACAGTTTCAGCTTAAGAACGGACCTCTGGAACGAAAGAAGTACTTAACCTGAGGTACCACTGTAGTTCTTTATCTCCTTGATATCTGATGGGAAGGCGTTCCTCAGGGTAGGTGCCACCACCGAGAAGGCCCTCTGCCTGGTTCCCTGTGACTTTGCTTCTCGCAATGAGGGAAACTGCCAGAAGACCCTCAGAGCTGGACCTCAGGCGATGGGGGTGGTGACTCTCCTTCAGATATAGAGGGCCAAGGCAGCTCCAGAATTTTGAATTGGGCTCAGAAACAACAACGCTCTAGAATTTGTAAGAAGAAGAAGCAGGAGCTGCAGTTTATCTCTGCGTATGCTTCTTGCAGATCCACTGCGGAGGCAGAGTCATTGCCCGAATGGAGCCATTCCTCACTCCAGACCCTACATGGCTGCCTTGCTGAATTTCCAGAACAATCGCACCTGTGGCGGATTCCTCGTGGGAGAACAGTGGGTCATGACTTCTGCACGCTGCGGACGGTAAGTATCCCTAAGGCCTTCCTCTTTTTGTAGGAGTGGTGATCATCGAGGGTAAAGCTAATTGCTGGAAGGGAGCAGGTCAGGGCAGGAATGTGCCATTGCTCCGTCTAGTCAAGTTGCATGGGATGAATTTCAACCTGTTACCTCTGAGGATGTGGACAGGCTGCCTGGAGTGAAATCAACCCCCTATCTCCTTGATCCTTGCCCATCCTGGCTCATAAAAGCGAGCCAGACAGGGCTGAGCGATGGGCTCCGCAGGGTGGTGAATGCCTCCCTTTGTGAGGGAGTCTCCCCAGACCCGCTGAAGGAAACTACTTCCTAAAAAAAAAATCTTTGGACCTGGTCGCTATGGCCATCTCTCGCCCCATCTCAACTCTTCCATTCTTGGGGAGTGGGTATTTGATGAACAACTCCAGGCACGCCTGGAGGATGCGGACCATTTGGACCCCTCCCAGCTGGGCTTCTGGCCCCATCGTGGGACTGAAACTGCCTTGGCCATGCTGGTCCATGATCTCTAGGGACAGAGGGGAAACCTGCTTCCTGGTCCTGCTGAATTTATCTTTTGATGCTATCAACCATGACATCCATGGGGTGGGGGCTGGTCTTTTGCCCAGGGATTGGGAGAGCATTGATTCTTGGGATCTCTGACCCTGACTGTTGCTTTGTTTCCAGTGTTGATATAGTTGTCCTGGGAGCACATGACTTCAAACATGACGGAGAACCTTACAGAGTGGACGAACACTACCCGCACAAAAATTATACGTTCAAGAACAACACCTTTTCAAATGATATTCTTCTGCTCAAGGTATCTCACCCCAAGCCTTTTTCTCACTCTGCAAGCACCCCCGAGGGCAGCGATCCTGAAGGCAGAAGGAGACAAATGTCTCCTTCCATCCCTGTGTGTGAAATATAATGGACTTGTTCAGCTGAATCCAGCTCTTTGGTCATTAGTATGATTGGATTATTGTCACTATTTATTGTTGTTGTTTAGTCGTTTAGTCGTGTCTGCCTCTTCGTGACCCCCTGGACCAGAGCACGCCAGGCACTCCTGCCTTCCACTGCCTCCCGCAGTTTGGTCAAACTCATGCTGGTAGCTTCGAACTGTCCCACCATCTCGTCCTCTGTCGTCCCCTTCTCCTTGTGCCCTCCATCTTTCCCAACATCAGGGTCTTTTCCAGGGAGTCTTCTCTTCTCATGAGGTGGCCAAAGTCTTGGAGCCTCAGCTTCAGGATCTGTCCTTCTAGTGAGCACTCAGGGCTGATTTCCTTCCGAATGGAGAGGTTTGATCTTCTTGCAGTCCATGGGACTCTCACTATTTATTAGAGTTCATTATTATGAATGCAGTTCTACATTCATAAAGGAACAGGTTTCAAGGGCTTCCTATTGCAACGCTAAGGCGCTCATTTCTGCCTCATCTCCCTCTCCTTTCCCCAGCTGCAGCCAAAGGTTCGTCTGAATGATAACATTTCCATCCTGCCATTGCCAACATCTAGCAGTGACCTCTCTGAGGGGACACCCTGCAGTGTGGCCGGCTGGGGCCTGAAACAGAATGATTGCGATGTCAAGCTCTATCAGGCCAGAGTCAACATCTACGACCGAAGCAAATGCCAGAAGTTCTATCCCAAGATCGATGAAGGAAAGATCTGCGCAGGCAAACGTGAAGACTCTCAGGATTTCGAACAAGTAAGGGGCAGCAGAAACAGCAAGTAATAGAACCAGAGGAAGGGGGTGGAAGCACCTTTCCCCGTTATGGGACAGGATGAGCAGTGTGAAAAGGGGACCCCGAGGGTGGGGGAGGCCCGCTCCCCAGCCATGAAGGAATCTTTTGCCCAACGTGGGGATGGAACCCCAAACCCTGAGGTTAAAGGTCTCCTGCTCTACTGACTGAGCTATCCTGAGGTTTATTGGGGGTTTAGGCAGACCCCGGGAAAGGAACAGCACCATAGCTAATAAGGTCAATGTGTCTACTCTGAGCAGGAGTGGCATGGAATACAATCCTGGGCCTGGTTTGCACTTGGTATGCCATCTCAGCTTACTTGTGCTTCCGAAACCAATACGTTATATAACACCCGTCCTGAAAGAACTACATTGGCTCCCAAGTCCTCCTTGGGGTGGATCCAAATTTTCCCCCACCTGCCATCTTTGCTTCCTTCCTTCCACAGGGGGAGATGGGTGATCCTTTGGTGTGCAATGGCGTAGCGCATGGAATCCTCTCCTACAGCAACCCCTGCCCTCCTGCCGTTTACACTCGCATCGCCCAGTACCTTCCTTGGATCAAGGAAACCATGGCCAAGTGAAGAGGAGAAGGAAGACCTCCTTCTTGTTTTTGCCTTTAATGCTTCTGCTTGCTACATAAGCCGTTTGGCTTGAATCCTGCAACCACACACACATGCACTGACCCCCCCCCCTCAACAGCTGCAAAAGTATCAGGTGTTCCGTACACGATTTGGTTTCCACAAGTTCCTTCGGTCTCTCCCCATCCCCTTCAAGAAAACCGCTCGCCTCCTTTCCTCTACTGTGTTCCCCATCATACCTCTTTCCCTCGACCTTCACTGATCCATCTCTCTCATCTGATAAAGGTGCCCGTCTTCTCCTTTAGAACTGTTCTGTCCCTTCTCTCTCCCTGTCCCCATACGGCCGGAACAATCTCTCAGAGCGCCATATGCCTCTGACACCCTGAAGCGACTCCTCCTCCCCTGCCTGGTTTCTCCTAAGGCAGGGAAAAGGGACCTCTGGCCTTCTCAATGCTGCTGAGATGCAACTCCCGTTATCCCTGGCCATTGGCCATGTTTGCTGCAGATGATGGGAGTCCAGCAATCTTTGGAGGACCAAAGGTTTCTCACCGTTGTCCAAATGTCTGGACTAACCAAAGCTCCACAGATCTCCTCCTCGTCCTCTGGATCAGTGGAGGCGAACCTGTCACCTTCCAGATGTTGTTGGACTCCAACTCCCATCAGCCCCAGACAACATGGCCAATACGGGGCGACTGGCGTTGACATCCATCAACATCTGGATGGCCAAAAGATTAACCGCACCTTCCTTTAGATGATTCCACCTTCCTCCATCCTCCTTCTTCAGCCTGGCATAGATTTGGACGCTGCCTTCTGGGACACGGGAGGGCCAGGACTGTGAGAATTTCTCACCCTGTTCAAGAGGAGACATTTCATTTCAGCCCTAGGGGACTTCCTCTGTGCATTTCCTCGAGGTCCAAATCACTGGTCTGAGCTCTAGGATTCCTAGACAATCGTACAAAAGACCTTGGCACCAAAAAGCATTTAAAAATGGGGCGGGCAGTTAAAAGTTACCAGTTTACCATTTCACATGCCAAACTCCTCCAGGCTAATGGTTGTGGTGATGTACCAGAGGGATAGAGGGGAAATTAAATACAGATTGAACCTCCCTCATTCACGCTTTCTGGAATAAGATGCCAAACGCAGCCATCCTTTCAAATCCGCCCTCCTCTGAATTTTGCAACTTGGCTCTCCAGGCGAGTCTAGTGCACCAAAATGCAGATACTGGAATGAGGTGTGTCTGTCAGTGTGCGTAGCAGTGAAAGGAACCTGCCCGAAATGCCTTATTTTGGGGAAATTGCTTTGCAAAGACGCACCAGTTTGGCAAACTTTCATGCAACTCTGTATCTCAAGAGTAATTCACAATAAACTGCTAATGCATCCACACAAATGTGTTGTTGTTGTTTGCCTGAGCAAGCCAGAGAGGCGGGAAGTGCGCCCTTGCCAGCGCCCATTCTGCACAGTAGGCTTCGGCGCAGGGAGGGCGCAAAAGGCTGGGGGTCACACGGCTTTTATGCTGGGGGAGGTACAAAGGCTGACCACTCCCAGATTCTGCTAGCGCTTGAGCCAGACATGAACTTAGGACGCTCTTCACTGTTGCACCAAGAATAAAGCCTGGAAAAGACAGGTTGGAGTCTTACCTGCTTACTCTCGAGCAACCACACCACCTTCTGACATTGGCAACTGGCCCTGTGGGCGTGCCTTTAATTTAATTGCACTACAGTCCCTGCTCCCACCTGGTTCAACGATACTGACGCATAAAGGGGGCCACTTAAGAGGAGGCCCCGCCTGAGCCCCCCTGAGGCGGCCAGGTGTTCTAGGACACAGTCCTTTGGGGTAAAGCCACTTCCGAGCTAGGGAGGAGGTGGGGTTGCGGGCTTCATGCCCCTCCCCACACACGCGGGGGCTGGCTTTCAGCCCCCATGATACCAGGGGAATCCTCGGACGCATCACCACCAATCGGCTGGCCCGGGAGGCGTGGCCGGCTCTATTTAGGGCGGCGCGGCCGAGGGTCTCCCTCTTTCCCGTGCCATAGCTGACCTGTTTTTCCCTCCCCTCCCACCCGTTAGGCTAGGCTCTCCGACGTTGCTATGGACTTCGGTTGGTCGCCATCAAGGGGCCTGGTAGGAATTTTCCCAACTGGCGGATTGGCACCAGCCACTTGGTTTTCGCCTACCTTGTAGCAAACTGTCACAACTCCCAGTATGGGCGGTTAGGCATTGGTAGGGATATTATTATGCAGATGATGGGGGGGGGAAGCGCCATCACCTTCCCCCAAAACAAAGGGTAGTCCGGTAAAGGATTCTGGGGGGCATGGCCTGGTCCTAAGCCTATGGTGGTGTGGGCCCACGGCACCCCCCGAGCGGTGACCCCGGGGGAGTTCCTAGTTGACGTGTATCAGCAGGACTCCCCCTACTGGTGGTTAACCCTTACCGGTCTTCAAGCAAGCGGGCTGAAGCCGCTTAGTTGATAGGACCAATGCCTAAGCCAATACCGCTCAATTCCTCTAATCAATAAAGTTGTGGCCTAATTTGACCCATTAACTCGAATTCTTGTGTCTCGTGTCTTTATTTCTGTGGGAGAGGCGGGAACTCGCCACGCAACTAGACATTTTTACCTCTTGGTTATGGCAGGGACACAAGGGCAGCCTGTCTATGTCAAGGGAGTTGGAGTCACCCATGCCTACAGCATAGACATGGATGGACAAATTGTCCACTTTTATCCCTTCCAGCTTATTCTTTTTCCCATCATAAATTCAGTTATCGAAATATCTGTATAAGTTTGCAGGCTTGTTGTTGTTTTTTAAGAACGGACGGAAAACTCATGAAAATTCAACAGCATTTTAATGTGAATTTCTTTCGATACACACTTTTGAATGCAATTGTGCCACAAATTCACATTTTTTTGCAAAGCAGTTTGCTATAAGATAATGCATTTTTGGCATGCTTTTTTTAAAAACTATTCCTTGCAGCAAAAGACACACTTCCCCCCCCATTAAGTGCATTCCCATAAACATGACTTGGCTGGAGACCTAAACTGCAAAATCTGGAGAAATGTGAATTTTAGAGATGACTGTTTCTGGTGTGAACCTTGTTTCAGAAAGTGTGAACTTTCAATCCAGGCTGAATATTAAATGTCTCCTCCATTCCTACAACACATTGCGACAACCCACTGCTTAGCGGAGTTTATTCTGTGAAAAGGTTATTTGTGAGATGTTGTGGGTGCCAAAGTGTTTTGGATCTGCATCTAGGAATCCTAGAGGTTAGGGTGGTCTTTGGGGTGCTGATGGAATACAGAGAGGAAAGCCTTTAGAAATGAGATAGAGTCCTTCCGTGTTGGCTGAGAGGACAACGTCCCACATGCCTTAACCTCAAGGGGCTTGACCTGACCTTGACCCAGAATGCGGGTTCCAATGGCAGGTCTGCGGACCTCTGGGAGGAAGAGCCAGAAGAATCCTCTAAAGCAGAGGTGGCTGACATTTTGGCCATCCAGATGTTGATGGACTTCAACTCCCATCAGCCCTCACATTTGGCTATACTGGCCAGGACTGATGGGAGTTGGAGTCCAACCACATTGAGCGAGTCACAGGTCCTTCCCTCCTGATCTAAAGGAACACGATGCTATCCAGACATTTGGACCATCTTTGGCTCTCCAGATGTTGCTGGACTCCAGTTCCTCCATCCCTGCATTAGGGGAAGGAAGGGAGAAGGGAGGAGCGGCTTGAGGGAGATGGAGGTCCGTGGAAGGGTTTTCTTCAAGGGGACGGGAGGCAGTGAAGGCACATGCCCAAACACCATCCTGTATGAAACAACTGATAGATCTGATTTCGCAGCCATTGAGGGTCTCTCTCTCTCTCTCTCTCTCTCTCTCTCTCTCTCTGTGTGTGTGTGTGTGTGTTGTTGCAGAATGCAAGCCAAGCAGGTTATCCAGCCAGCAAAAGCATTAGGGGTGGGAAAGAAGGCACAATGTCACCGCAGTTGCTTCTTCTGTTCACAGATTCATGGTTCTCTTGATCCATGGAAGGTAATGGGCGATGCGGGTGTAAATTCCAGGATAGCGATACAAGATGATTCCTTCTGCCACACCATTGCACACCAAGGGGCCACCCGTGATCCCCTGTGGAGAGAAGAGAGAGAACAAAGATGGCAGCTGGGGGAAGATTTGGATCCACCTCGTGGCGAACTCTGGTGCTTGAGCCAGGGCAAACGGCCAGGTTCCTGTTGGTTGGATCCTTCCATTCTGAGTGGAGATCTTGGTGGACATTTCTCCTAATATATTGATTTTGGAGAGCAATGTCTTTCTAATCAAATGCATTTTTGTACATCAGTTTTACCAATATATGCAGGTTACATACGCTTCAGGTTACAGGCTCTGCTAACCCAGAAATAGTGCTTCAAGTTAAGAACTTTGCTTCAGGATGAGAACAGATGTCATGCTCCGGCGGCGCTGCAGCAGCAGCAGGAGGCCCCATTAGCTAAAGTGGTGCTTCAGGTTAAGAACAGTTTCAGGTTAAGTACGGACCTCCGGAACGAATTAAGTACTTAACCTGAGGTACCACTGTATACGTGCTCTTCCTGCTAATGCATTCCTTTATGTAAATATTATTTGAGTGGAGAACTATTCGGCCATTATAAAAGATAACCAATTTTCAGTTCCGCTATAAGTTCAGAAAGCATAAATCAGCTCTGCTTCTGTTTAAAAGGAGGACCGGACCTAGGGTGGCATCCCATAATACTATGATACACAATGTGTTGATTTCAGTGGGTCTGTTCTCAATAGGACTTAGGGCTCGCTTGTCCCGTCCGAGCAGTTTCCCCCTTGCCCACTCCTTTCCCAGGGAAAATCAGCTCTTTAGCTCTAAATCGGAACAAACAGCAATCTGCAGAAAACTCCTTTCTTGTTTGCTCCTATTCAGCTCCAAAGACCGGTTTTCTCCTGGAAAAGCAGCGGGACAAGAGGAATTGTGCAGGAGCCCTTAGCAGGATGCAAGCCTAAATAACTCCACCTTCGCTTTTGGGGACCCTAGGAGCGCCTGTGAAGCACAGAAGTGAAGGGCAGATGAAGGTGATGGACTACATGGAACTGGCGGAAATGACTGGCAGAATCCGAGACCAGGGAGAAGAGTTGGTGGAGGAAGATTGGGAAAAATTTAAAGTATATTTACAAAAATATAGCAAAATTAATGAATGTTAGAAGGATGCTGGAATGAAGTTACATGGTTTTAGCAGAAATGTTATAAAGAATTAAGTAAAAGTGGATTGTAATGGGTTAAAGTGTAAAATTTAAGGTCAGATTGGGTTAAGGTAAATTATAGAACAAAAACTGAGAAAGATGGAAAGGATTTGCTGAAATAGCTAATTTTGAATTAGAATACAAAAAGGGAGGTGCGAGGAGGTCGATGAAACAAGTAAATGAAAGACAAAGATATGGAAATACTGGGTGTGTTTTTAAATGTTTTTGTTTTTAAATGTTTTGTTTTTTCTTATTGTTGTGCTGTATTGTTTTTTCTATTTTGCTTTTTATTTTTTTGATGTATTGTAACTTCTTATTGTTTTTCTTTTTCTTTTTCTTTTTTTTTGGTAATTGTTAAACTCTTAATAAATATCTTTTTTTTTAAAAAAAAAAGTGAAGCACAGAAGTGAAGGGAATCGTTCGACATCCACCCCTGGGAATCGGCAGAGATTTTATGAAGCCGCTGGGTTGGTCAGGCCAGGTGTAAGTAGACTGGCACCTGCCCATGTTTATTTTGCTGGAGAGGAGAATAATCTCTCAGAAGGTTCCCCAACCTCTGATCCTCCCACTCACTGCTTCTGCTGGCTCTCACCTTGAAAACAGTCTTGCTCTGCCCATTGGAACAGAGCTTCCCGTAATTGTAATAGTAATGATACTTCCTCTTGCATCGACTACGGCCAAAGACAGTGAGATTTGGTGACCAGCCTTTGTAAACCCAGTCCCATCCTGCCACGCTGCAGGGAGTCCCATCGGAGAGGTCACGGTCGAATTCGGGCAAGCGCAGGATCTGGACATATTCATTCAAAGTAGCCTTGGAATTCAGCTGTGGAAAGGAGAGATGGGAAAGAGCTCATTGGTTTAGTGTTGCTTGAGGAAGGCCTTTGGGGAGTCTGGTGCCTCTGAAATGGGGCACTTTGGGCAAAAGAAGTAGCAGAATGTATTCATAATGCAGAATGATAATATTATGGCATGGATAATATTAATGGTCCACGTTCAACTATATGGTTGCACCAGCAAGAGTCCTGCCAATGCGATGGGGCTTCTCCACTGCACCCCCAAACCTGTGGTCAAATGTTCTATAGGGTGTTGTTTCTTTAGAAATCACGGGACTGGGGACTTTTTGAGAAATACAAGTCGTTACAAAATTCTGAAGAAATAGAGTGTCTTTAGCAACCGTGGTCTTGATGCTTGCCCAAGTGGGAGAGTCCTGGCACTTAACTCTTCAGCCTCTTGATGGACGTGGGTTTTATTACCTCTGGTGGGACAAGAGGAATCGTGCAGAAGCCCTTAGCACAGGGGAGAGCAAACATTTTCAGCAGGGGGCCGGTCCACTGTCCCTCAGACCTTGTGGGGGCCGGACTATATTTTGAAAAAAGAATGAACAGATTCCTGTGCCCCCACAAATAACCCAGAGATGCATTTTAAATAACAAATAACCCAGAGATGCATTCTGGCAAACATTTCAATACTAAAAGAATACAACTAAAAATGTTTTAAGATAAAAACTCCTACAAGAAGCCACCTACTCCGAATTTAACGATTTCTGGGCTGCCACGGAAGAGACTTTTGGTTATCCAATGCCAGGGTAAACTGCACAATGTCTAGTTCAATATACTGCACACATTGGGATGGTTTGGAGAGCCCTGACCCCTTCTGCCTTCAGGATCACTGACCTCGGGGGAAGATAGAAGGAGAGATTGCTTGGAGCAAGCTACCTTGAGCAGACGGATATCGTTTGAGGAGAAGACTTTCTCATATTGAGGGTGTGGGTAGTTAGCCACAACTCTAAACGCTTGCTGGGAGGGTTCTTCAGCGGAGATGTGATGTCCCCCCAAGTAGACATAATGGATGCTGGAAAGAGAGCATCAGTTAGTGTCAGAGATGCCAGGACTCAATCCCTTCCTGGCCCCCGTGCAAAGGACCAGGCTCCCTCCACACAACCGGCTGTGCACCTTGATGTTAGGTGGCCACCTGTCATGGGTGCTTTAGCTGACCAGATGACCCTTGCAGTCCCTTCCAACTGTAAAGGTAAAGGAGTCGTGTCCGACTCTGGGGTTGCGTGCTCATCTTGCTCTAGAGGCCGCGAGCCGGCGCCGTCCGAAGACACTTCCAGGTCACGTGGCCAGCGTGACGAAGCTGCAGCGGCGAGCCAGCACCAGCGCCGCACACAGAAACGCCGTTTACCTTCCCGCTATAAAGCGGTCCCTATTTATCTACTTGCACTTTGACATGCTTTCGAACTGCTAGGTGGGCAGGAGCTGGGACAGAACGACGGGAGCTCACCCTGCCGCGGGGATTCGAACCGCTGACCATACGATCGGCAAGTCCTAGGCGCTGAGGTTTTACCCACAGCGCCACCCGCGTCCCACGTCCCTTCCAACTGTACAATTCTCTGATACTATAACCATCCCTGCTAAAAATCAAGGAGGGATTAGTGAGACTTACCCCTCACAGTGCGCAGCCGTCATTACCCACTGGGGCGCCACCAGGAATCCGACACAGTTAGTGCCCCCAGTAATCCCCAAGTGAGCCATGTAGGGTCTGGGGTGGTGCCTGGCTTCATAGCCCCCAACAATCTCACTCCGCAATGGATCTGCAAGAAGCATATGCAGAGATTCAGCTCCTTCTCCTCCTCCTTGCATGTTCTGGGGTGTCCTCCACACATTCAAGGTTATTGAGGGAGCAAAAAGGATGGGTCACTGTCCGCATGAGCTTACAATTGGTTTTCCTAGCAAAGAAGTTAGCAAAGCGAAAGCAAAGAGGAGCCTAGGAAGACCCCTTTGGGCTTTGAATGGGAGGAGGATTTCAGGGAGAAGAAACCCCATGGTGTATCATCTGCCATGGTGCTTTTACTCACCTGTTTGGGCCAAGGAGAAGGACAGCAGTAGCAGAAGAACCTGACGGAGTCTCCACATCTTGATGCTTGCCAAGGAGGGAGATGCCTGACGCTTAAGTCTTCAGCCTCTTGAATCCGTAGCTTTTATAGTCCCACTCTCTGGACCCCACCTTTCCCAGGAAGCCACAATCTAGACTGGAGATCTGATAGGCGAATTTATACACGTTTATCTTTTCTCTCCAGCCATGTGACCTCTCTTATCTTTTCTCTCCAGCCATTTCGACGGAGTGCTGTTTGTTCCGATTCAGAGGTAAAGAATGGGATGCAGGTGGTGCCGTGGGCTAAACCACAGAGCCAGGACTTGATGATCAGAAGGTCGGCATTTCGAATCCCCAAGACGGGGTGAGCTCCCGTTGCTCGGTCCCTGCTCCTGCCAACCTAGCAGTTCGAAAGCACGTCAAAGTGCAAGTAGATAAATAGGTTCTGCTCTGGTGGGAAGGTAAACGGCGTTTCCGTGCGCTGCTCTGGTTCGCCAGAAGCGGCTTAGTCCTGCTGGCCACATGACCAATTAGCTGTACGCCGGCTCCCTCGGCCAATAAAGCAAGATGAGCGCCGCAACCCCAGAGTCGGCCACGACTGGACCTAATGGTCAGGGGTCCCTTTGCCTTTACCTAGAGGTAAAGAGCTAGTTTTCCCTGGGAAAGGAGTGTGGCAAGGGGGAAACTGCTCAGACAGGGCAAGCAAGCCCTACGTCATACTGAGAGCAGACCCACTGAAATCAACACTCATTGTGTCTCACAATATTATGGGATGCCGCCCTAGGTCCGGTTCACATTTTGAACACAAGCAGAGCTAATTTGTGCTTTCTGAACTAATAATGGAACTGAAATTCCATTTCACATAGTTATCGTTGGCCACTCAGTTAATATATACATAGTGGAGTACGTTAGCAGAAAGAGCACCTATAAATGCATATACAGTGGTACCTCAGGTTACATACGCTTCAGGTTACACACTCCGCTAACCCAGAAATAGTGCTTCAGATTAAGAACTTTGCTTCAGGATGAGAACAGAAATTGCGTGGCAGCAGCAGCAGGAGGCCCCATTAGCTAAAGTGGTGCTTCAGGTTAAGAACAGTTTCAGGTTAAAAACGGAACGAATTAAGTACTTAACCCGAGGTACCACTCTATTGGTAAAACTGATGTACAAAAATGCATTTAATTAGTTAGACATTGCCTACCAAAATGTGTATTGTGAGAAATGTATATGCTGTCTTTTCAGTTTGCTCCTGCAAAAGAGGAATTTTTTTTTTATTAATCATAAAAATAATAGGGCTATAAGAAAAATTGCAGCTGGGGTGTCTAAGGCTAGGAATATTGCAGCCAGGGGTGTGGGTGGCTGTTTTTAGCATATTTCAAACTAGCTGTGGTCAAACTTTCTATAGGGTGTTGTTTCTTTAGAAATCACGGGGCTGGGGACTTTTTGAGAAATACAAGTCGTTGCAATATTCTGAAGAAATAGAGAAATAGAGTATCTTTAGCAACTGTGGTCTTGATGCTTGCCCAGGTGGGAGATGCCTGGCACTTAACTCTTCAGCCTCTTGACGGACGTGGGTTTTATTACCTCTGGTGGGACAAGAGGAATCCTGCAGGAGCCCTTAGCACAGGGGAGAGCAAACATTTTCAGCAGGGGCTGGTCCACTGTCCCTCAGACCTTGTGGGGGGCTGGATTATATTTTGAAAAAGGATGAACGAATTCCTGTGCCCCACAAATAACCCAGAGATGCATTTTAAATCAAAGGACACATTCTACTCATGTAAAAACAAGCTGATTCCCGGACCGTCCGCAGGCCGGATTGAGAAGGCGATTGGGCCAGATCCGGCCCCCGGGCTTTAGGTTGCCTACCCATGCCTTATCAGGATGTTCAGGCTTGTTGGAGCTCCCAGCACAGACCTTCCCATCATTGAAATCTGAGGAGAACCTACATCCAGAGATGGTGACATTGGTCTCGTAGATGCACAAATATAGGATGGGGCTATAGGATGGGGCTTACCAGCAGTACGTGTGAAAAGGATCTAGGGGGTCTTGGTGGACCACAAGATGAGCATGAGCCAACAGTGTGATGCAGCAGCAAAAAAAGCTAATGCTATTCTAGGCTGCATCAATGGAAGTTTAGTGTGCAGATCAAGGGAAGTCATAGTCCTGCTCTCTTCTGCCTTGGTCAAACCACACCTGGAATATTGTGTCCAGTTCTGGGCACCCCCTGCATAAGGAGACCTCTGAAGGGAAGGGGGTTCATAGGCATCACCTGTGGTGAGGGTGTGTCCACATTAGTTCCAGATGAGCAAAAGCAACAAGCCACCTGTTATATACCTAGTTGAATAGGAACCAAAAGGGAGCAGTCTGATTGGTCCTAGAACAAAAGGGTGCAGAATGCAGCAGTCTGATTGGTCCTAGAACAATAGGATCCAAAATGCAGCAGTCTGATTGGTCCTAGAACAATAGGATTCAGATTATAGCAGTCTGATTAGTCCTAGAACAATAGGGTCCAGAATGCAGCCGGTCTGATTGGTCCACAGGAGCCACCCAATCCAGCTCCAGGTGGAAGTGAATCCACAACCTGATTGGCCTACAGGTGAATCCCGGAATTAGCCAATCACGTGGGGCCCACTGTGTAAATAATGTATATAAAGCAGACATTCTGGGGGAACCCTATTTCTCTATTTCTTCAGAATATTGCAACGAGTTGTATTTCTCAAAAAGTCGCCAGCCCCGTGATTTCTAAAGAAACAACACCCTATAGAAAGTTTGACCGCAGCTAGTTTGAAATATGCTAAAAACAGCCACCCACACCCTGCCTGCAATATTCCTAGCCTTTGACACCCCTGGTGCAATTTTTCTTATAGCCCTATTATTTTTATGATTAATCAAAAAAAAATTCCTCTTTTGCAGGAGCAAACTGAAAAGACAACATATACATTTCTCACAATACACATTTTGGTAGGCAATGTCTTCCTAATTAAATGCATTTTTGTACATCAGTTTTTACCAATAGAGTGGTACCTTGGGTTAAGTACTTAATTCGTTCCGTGCTTAACCTGAAGCTGTTCTTAACCTGAAGCACCACTTTAGCTAATGGGGCCTCCTGCTGCCGCAGCCCGATTTCTGTTCTCATCCTGAAGCAAAGTTCTTAACCCGAGGTACTACTTCTGGGTTAGCGGAGTCTATAACCTGAAGCGTATGTATCCTGAGGTACCACTGTATATGCATTTATAGGTGCTCTTTCTGCTAATGTACTCCACTATGTGTATATTAACTGAGTGGCCAACGATAACTATGTGAAATGGAATTTCAGTTCCATTATTAGTTCAGAAAGCACAAATTAGCTCTGCTTGTGTTCAAAATGTGAACCGGACCTAGGGCGGCATCCCATAATATTATGAGACACAATGAGTGTTGATTTCAGTGGATCTGCTCTCAGTATGACGTAGGGCTTGCTTGCCCTGTCTGAGCAGTTTCCCCCTTGCCACACTCCTTTCCCAGGGAAAACTAGCTCTTTACCTCTAGGTAAAGGTAAAGGGACCCCTGACCATTAGGTCCAGTCGCGGACAACTCTGGGGTTGCGGCGCTCATCTCACTTTACTGGCCGAGGGAGCCGGTGTACAGCTTCCGGGTCATGTGGCCAGCATGACTAAGCCGCTTCTGGCAGACCAGAGCAGCGCACGGAAATGCCGTTTACCTTCCCGCCGGAGCGGGACCTATTTATCTACTTGCACTTTGACATGCTTTCGAACTGCTAGGTTGGCAGAGCAGGGACCGAGCAACGGGAACTCACCCCTTCACGGGGATTCAAAACGCCGACCTTCTGATCAGCAAGTCCTAGGCTCTGTGGTTTAGCCCACGGCACCACCTGCGTCCCATTCTTTACCTCTGAATCGGAACAAACAGCAATCCGTCGAAAACACCTTTGTTGTTTGCACCGATTAAGCTCCACAGAGCAGTTTTCTCCAAGCTCCTTCTCTGACCCCAACAGGACCAAACCGCACAAAACTGCCTTGCTATCTGATTTCCATCAATGGGTGGTGTGGTGTGGTGTGGGGGTCTGTCACATGGCGGGAGAGAAAAGATGAACGTGTTGAAATTCGCCCATCAGATCTCCAGTCTAGATTGTGGCTTCCTGGGAAAGGTGGGGTCCAGAGAGTGGGATTATAAAAGCGACGGATTCAAGAGGCTGAAGACTTAAGCGTCAGGCATCTCCCTCCTTGGCAAGCATCATGATGTGGAGACTCCGCCAGGTTCTTCTGCTACTGCTGTCCTTCTCCTTAGCCCTTACAGGTGAGTAAAAGCACCATGGCAGATGATCCACCATGGGGTTTCTTCTCCCTGAAATCCTCCTCCCAGAAGTCATTCAACAGCCCAAAGGGGGTCTTCCTAGGCTCCTCTTTGCTTTCGCTTTGCTAACTTCCTTGCTAGGAAAACCAATTGTAAGCTCATCGGGATGGAGACCCATCCTTTTTGCACCCCCAATAACTTTGAATGTGTGGAGGACACCCCAGAACATGCAAGGAGGAGGAGGAGGAGCTGATCTCTGCATACGGTTCTTGCAGATCCCTTGCGGAGTGAGACTGATGAGGAGCACGAAGCCAAGCCCGACCCCAGATCCTACATGGCTTACTTGTCGACTAGCGATGGCCCTTCCTGTATCGGATTCCTGGTGGCGCCCCAGTGGGTAATGACGTCTGCGCTCTGCGATGCGTAAGTCTCACTAATCCCTCCTTGCTTCTTAGCAGGGATGGTCATAGAATCAGAGAATTGTATAGTTGGAAGGGACTGCAAGGGTCATCTGGTCAGCTAAAGCACCCATGACAGGTGGCCACCTAACCTTCACGGTGCACAGCTGGTTGTGTGGAGGGGGCCTGGTCTTTTGCACGGGGGCCAGGAGGGGATTGAGTCCTGGCATCTCTGACACTAACTGATGTTGTGTTTCCAGCACCTATAGTGTCATCCGCTTTAATAAAACCTCTAGTGAAGTGTTTCGTGTTGAGGCTAACTACCCACACCCTGACTATGACAAATACGACAACTCAAACGATATCCGTCTGCTCAAGGTAACTTGCTCCAAGCAATCTCTCCTTCTATCTTCCCCCCGAGGTCAGTGATCCTGAAGGCAGAAGGGGTCAAGTGTCTTCCTCCCTCCCAAAGTGTGCAGCATAATGAACTAGACATTGTGCAGTTTACCCTGGCATTGGGGGGCCAAAAGTCTCTTCCGGGGCAGCCCAGAAATCATTAAATTCGGAGTAGGTGGCTGCTTGTAGGAGTTTTTACCATTTTTAGTTGTATTCTTTTAGTATTGAAATGTTTGCCACAAAGCAGATGTGGGGATGCAGTGGAGAAGCCCCATCGCATTGGCAGGGCTCTTGCTGGTGCAACCATATACCGTATTTTTCGCTCTATAAGACGCACCAGACCACAAGACGCACCTAGTTTTTGGAGGAGGAAAACAAGAAAAAAAATATTCTGGCTTCTGGGATAGCTGCGAAGCCTGCATTCGCTCCATAAGACGCACACACATTTCCCCTTACTTTTTAGGAGGGAAAAAGTGAGTCTTATAGAGCAAAAAATACGGTAGTTGAACGTGGGCCATTAATATTATCCATGCCATAATATTATCATTCTGTATTATGAATACATTCTGCTACTTTTTTTGCCCAAAGTGCCCCATTTCAGAGGCACCAGACTCCCCAAAGGGTTTCCTTGAGCAACGCTAAATCAATGAGCTCTCTCCCATCTCTTCTTTTCACAGCTGAATTCCAAGGGTTCTTTGACTGAATACGTCAACACCCTGCGCTTGCCCATATTCGACCGTGAGCTCTCCGATGGGACTCCCTGCAGCGTGGAAGGCTTGGGTCGGGTTTACGAAGATGTCATTGTCTATGGCCATAGTCAGTGCAAGAAGTTCTATCCCCATATCAATTATGGGAAGCTCTGTGCTAGGAGAAAGGACAAGTCTAGGACCTTCTATGAGGTGAGAGCCAGCAGAAGCAGCAAGTCACATGATCAGAGGTGGGGGATCCTTCTGAGGGATTATTCTCCTCTCCAGCAATAGAGACATGGGCAGATGCCAGTCTACTTACACCTGGCCTGACCAACCCAGCGGCTTCATAGAATGTCTGCCAATCCCCAGGGGTGGATGTCGAACGATTCCCTTCACTTCTGTGCTTCACAGGGGCTCCATGGGTCCCCAAAAAGCGAAGCTGGAGTTATTTAGGCTTGCATCCTGCTAAGGGCTCCTGCACAATTACTCTTGTCCCGCTGCTTTTCCGGGAGAAAACCGCTCTTTAGAGCTGAATAGGAGCAAACAAGAAAGGAGTTCTCTGCAGATTGCTGTTTGTTCCGATTTAGAGCTAAAGAGCTGATTTTCCCTGGGAAAGGAGAGGGGCAAGGGGGAAACTGCTCGGACGGGACAAGCGACCCCTAACTCCTACTGAGAGCAGACCCACTGAAATCAACACTCATTGTGTATCATAGTATTATGGGATGCCACCCTAGGTCCGGTCCTCCTTTTAAACAGAAGCAGAGCTGATTTATGCTTTCTGAACTTATAGCGGAACTGAAAATTGGTTATCTTTTATAATGGCCGAATAGTTCTCCACTCAAATAATATTTACATAAAGGAATGCATTAGCAGGAAGAGCACGTATACAGTGGTACCTCAGGTTAAGTACTTAATTCGTTCTGGAGGTCCGTACTTAACCTGAAACTGTTCTTAACCTGAAGCACCACTTTAGCTAATGGGGCCTCCGGAGCCCGATTTCTGTTCTCATCCTGAAGCAAAGTGCTTAACCTGAAGCACTATTTCTAGGTTAGCAGAGTCTGTAACCTGAAGCGTATGTAACCTGAGGTACCACTGTAAATGCATATATTGGTAAAACTGATGTACAAAAATGCATTTGATTAGAAAGACATTGCTCTCCAAAATCAATATATTAGGAGAAATGTCCACCAAGATCTCCACTCAGAATGGAAGGATCCAACCAACAGGAACCTGGCTGTTAGCTCTGGCTCAAGCACCAGAGTTCGCCACGAGGTGGATCCAAATCTTCCCCCAGCTGCCATGTCTTATCTCTCTCTCTCCTCTCCACAGGCGGACTCGGGTGGCCCCTTGGTGTGCAATGGTGTGGCAGAAGGAATCAACTTGTATCCCTATCCCGGCTGTCCTGGAGTTTACACCCGCATTGCCCATTACCTTCCATGGATCAAGAGAACCATGAGACTGTGAACAGAAGAAGCAACCGCGATGACATTGTGCCTTCTTTCCCACCCTTAGTGCTTTTGCTTGTTGAATAACCAGCTTGGCTTGCATTCTGCAACGAAACACGTGCGCGCGCAGACACACACACACACAGAGAGAGAGAGAGAGAGAGAGAGACCCCTCAATGGCTGCGAAAAAGGAAGATCCATCATACAGGATGGTGTTTGGGCAAGTTCCTTCACTGCCTCCCGTCCCCTTGAAGAAAACCCTTCCACGGACCTCCATTTCCCTCAAACAGCTCCTCCCTTCCCCCTCCCTTCCCCTAATGCAGGGATGGAAGACCTGTGGCCCCCAGATGCTGGAGTCCAGCAACATCTGGAGAGCCAAAGACGGTCCAAATGTCTGGATAGCATCAGGTTCCTTTAGATCAGGAGGGAAGGACCTGTGACTCACTCAATGTGGCTGGACTCCAACTCCCATCAGTCCTGGCCAGTATAGCCAAATGTGAGGGCTGATGGGAGTTGAAGTCCATCAACATCTGGATGGCCAATATGTCAGCCACCTCTGCTTTAGAGGATTCCTCTGGCTCTTCCTCCCAGAGGTCCGCAGACCTGCCATTGGAACCTGCATTCTGGGACAAGGTCAGGTTGAGTCCCTTGAGATTGAGATATGTGGGACGTCGTCCTCTCAGCCAACAGGGAAGGACTCTATCTCATTTCTAAAGGGATCCTCTCTGTATTTCATCAGCCCCCCCCCCCGACCCTTCTAATCTCTAGAATTCCTGGATGCTGTTCTGAAAGACCTTGGCACCCACAACATCTTTGTTGTTGTTGTTGTTGTTGTTTAGTCGTTTAGTCGTGTCCGCCTCTTCGTGGACCAGAGCACACCAGGCCCTCCTGTCTTCCACTGCCACCCGCAGTTTGGTCAAACTCATGTTGGTAGCTTCGAGAACACTGTCCCACCATCTTGTCCTCCGTCGTCCCCTTCTCCTTGTGCCCTCCATCTTTCCCAACATCAGGGTCTTTTCCAGGAGTCTTCTCTTCTCATGGCCAAAGTCTTGGAGCCTCAGCTTCAGGATCTGTCCTTCCAGTGAGCACTCAGGGCTGATTTCCTTAGGAATGGAGAGGTTTGATCTTCTTGCAGTCCCTAGGCTGTGGGTTGTCGCAATGTGTTGCAGGGATGGAGGAGACATTTAATATTCACCCTGGATTGAAAGTTAAACCTCCCTCACTCACACTTTTTGAAACAAGGTTCACACCAAAAACAGTCATCCTTTAAAATTCACATTTCTCAAGATTTTGCAGTTTAGGGCTCCAGTCACGTTTATAGGAATGCACATAATGAGGGTAACGTGTGTCCTTTGATGCAAGAAATAGTTAAAAAAAAAAAGCATGCCAAAAATGCATTATCTTACAGCAAACTGCTTTGCAAAAAAAATATGTGAATTTGTGGCACAATTGCATACAAAAGTGTGTATTGAAAGAAATTCACATTAAAATGCTGTTGAATTTTCATGAGTTTTCCGTCCGTTCTTTAAAAAAAACCACAAGCCTGCAAACTTATACAGATATTTGGATAACTGAACTTATGATGGGAAAAAGAAGAAGCTGGAAAGCATAAAAGTGGACAATTTGTCTGTCTATGTCTATGCCGTAGGCATGGGCGACTTCAACTCCCTTGACATAGGCTGCCCTTGTGTCCCTGCCATAACCAAGAGGTAAAAATGTCTAGTTGCGTGGCGGGTTCCCGCCTCTCCCACAGAAATAAAGACACGAGACACAAGAATTCGAGTTAATGGGTCAAATTAGGCCACAACTTTATTGATTAGAGGAATTGAGCGGTATTGGCTTAGGCATTGGTCCTATCAACTAAGCGGCTTCAGCCCGCTTGCTTGAAGACCGGTAAGGGTTAACCACCAGTAGGGGGAGTCCTGCTGATACACGTCAACTAGGAACTCCCCTGGGGTCACCGCTCGGGGGGTGCCGTGTGCCCACACCTCCATAGGCTTAGGACGAGACCATGCCCCCCGGAATCCTTTACCAGACTACCCTTTGTTTTGGGGGAAGGTGATGGCGCTTCCTTCCCCCCCATCATCTGCATAATAATATCCCTACCAATGCCTAACCGCCCATACTGGGAGTTGTGACAGTTTGCTACAAGGTAGGCGAAAACCAAGGGGCTGGTGCAAATCTGCCAGTTGGGAAAATACCTACCAGGCCCCTTGATGGCGACCAACTGAAGTCCATAGCAATGTCATAGAGCCTAGCCTAAAGGGTGGGAGGGGAGGGAAAAACAGGTCAGCTGTGGCACGGGAAAGAGGGAGACCCTTGGCCGCGCCGCCCTAAATAGAGCCAGCCACGCCTCCCTGGCCAGCCGATTGGCTGGCCAGGGTGGTGATGCGTCCGAGGATTCCCCTGGTATCACGGGGGCTGAAAGCCAGCCCCCGCGTGTGTGGGGAGGGGCGTGAAGCCCGCAACCCCACCTCCTCCCTAGCTCAGAAGTGGCTTTACCCCAAAGGACTGTGTCCTAGAACACCTGGCCGCCTCAGGGGGGCTCAGGCGGGGCCTCCTCTTAAGTGGCCCCCTTTATGCGTCAGTATCGTTGAACCAGGTGGGAGCAGGGACTGTAGTGCAATTAAATTAAAGGCACGCCCACAGGGCCAGTTGCCAATGTCAGAAGGTGGTGTGGTTGCTCGAGAGTAAGCAGGTAAGACTCCGGCCTGTCTTTTCCAGGCTTTATTCTTGGTGCAACAGTGAAGAGCGTCCTAAGTTCATGTCTGGCTCAATCGCTAGCAGAATCTGGGAGTGCTCGGCCTTTGTACCTCCCCAGCATAAAAGCCGTGTGACCCCCCAGCCTTTTCCGCCCCTCCCTGCGCCAAAGCCTACTGCACAGAATGGGCGCTGGCAAGGGCGCACTCCCCGCCTCTCCGGTGTGCTCAGGCAAACAACAACAACACATTTGTGTGGATGCATTAGCAGTTTATTGTGAATTACTCTTGAGATACAGAGTTGCATGCAAGTTTGCCAAACCGGCGCGTCTTTGCAAAGCGATTTCCCCAAAATAAGGCATTATGGGCAGGCTCCTTTCACTGCTACGCACACTGACAGACACACCTCATTCCAGTATCTGCATTTTTGTGCACTAGACTCGCCTGGAGAGCCAAGTTGCAAAATTCAGAGGAGGGCGAATTTGAAAAGATGGCTGCGTTTGTCATCTTATTCCAGGATGTGTGAATGAGGGAGGTTCAATCTGAATTTAATTTCCCCTCTGTCCCTCTGGTACATCACCCCCAACCATTAGCCTGGAGGAGTTTTGGCATGTGAAATGGTAAACTGGTCACTTTTAACCCTGCCCCCATTTAAAATGATTTTTGGTGCCAAGGTCTTTCGTACGATTGTCTAGGAATCCTAGAGCTCAGACCAGTGATTTGGACATTGAGGAAATGCACAGAGGAAGTCCCCTAGGGCTGAAATGAAATGTCTCCTCTTGAACAGGGTGAGAAATTCCCACAGTCCTGGCCCTCCGGTGTCCCAGAAGGCAGCGTCCAAATCTATGCCAGGCTGAAGAGGGAGGATGGAGGAAGGTGGAATCATCTAAAGGAAGGTGCGGTTGATCTTTTGGCCATCCAGATGTTGATGGATGTTGATTGATGGCCATGTTGTCTGGGGCTGATGGGAGTTGGAGTCCAACAACATCTGGAATGTGACAGGTTTCTCTCCCCTGACCCAAAGGACGAGGAGGAGATCTGTGGAGCTTTGGTCAGTCCAGACATTTGGACAACAGTGAGGAATCTTTGGTCCTCCAAAGATTGCTGGATTCCCATCAACTGCAGCAAACATGGCCAATGGCCAGGGATAACGGGAGTTGCATCTCAGCAACATCGAGAAGGCCAGAGGTCCCTTTTCCCTGCCTTAGGAGAAACCAGGCAGGGTAGGAGGAGTCGCTTCAGGGAGACAGAGGCGTATGGTGCTCTGAGAGATTGTTCCGGCCGTATGGGGACAGGGAGAGAGAAGGGACAGAACAGTTCTAAAGGAGAAGAAGGGCATCTTTTTTCAGAGGAGAGAGATGGAGCAGTGAAGTTTGAGGGAAGAGGTACGATGGGGAACGCGGTCAGGGAAAGGAGGTGAGCGGTTTTCTTGAAGGGGTTGGGGAGGGACTGAAGGAACTTGTGGAAACCGAATTGTGTACGAAACACCTGATACGTTTGCAGCTGTTGAGGGGGTCAGTGTGTGTGTGTGTGGTTGCAGGATTCAAGCCAAACGGCTTATGTAGCAAGCAGAAGCATTAAAGGCAAGAAGAAGGAGGAGGTCTTCCTTCTCCTCTTCACTTGGCCATGGTTTCCTGATCCAAGGAAGGTACTGGGCGATGCGAGTGTAAACGGCAGGAGGGCAGGGGTTGCTGTAGGAGAGGATTCCATGCGCTACGCCATTGCACACCAAAGGATCACCCATCTCCCCCTGTGGAAGGAAGGAAGCAAAGATGGCAGGTGGGGGAAGATTTGGCTCCACCCCAAGGAGGACTTCAACTGCAACAACATTGGCAAACCTCCCAATTCCTGTTTCTCTCTTGTTTTGAATGATATTTAAACTCGGCTCCCCACTTTTGTACATCGCTTCATTGTTTTCTCTGAGTCCACACACAAATACATATTGTATTGACAGGCTTCCTTCTCCTGTAAGGAGCTCAAGGGGCCAAATATGGCTTCCCTTCCTCTCCCTGTCACCCAGAAAACAACCCTGTGAGGTTGGCTGTGTGGGAGCTAGTTACTAGGCCCCAGGGTCACTTGGGGAGCTGTGTGGCTGGGGATTGGCATGCACATGTTTCCTGAGATTCCTGTATGGCAGGGGAGCAGACCTCCCCCGCCCTTGGGGGTCCCTTCAAACTCTACATTTCTATGATTCCATCATCTGTGACGGGGCGGCATTCAACTCTTGGAGGCTCAGCCCTGAGGCACAGAAATGAAGGGCAGCAATCCCCATCTGCCCAGTGACTGGCCTCTGCCCACGTCCATTTTGCTGGAGAAGAGGAGGATTATCCCCTTTCCTCGCTTGGCTCCAGCTGTGGCAGCATCTGCAGCTGTGGCTGAGTGGGAGACAACCCCGTCCGAAACCCTGGCAATGCTGAGCTAATCATTCAAACCCATGAGGACTGGAATCTTCATTTGGTTAAAACCAGAGCTCACTGATAGAGCACTTGCTTGGCGTGCAGAACGTCCCAATGGCATCCCCAGGGAGGGCTAAAAATGTCTGCTGCTGTTTGCCAGAGTCGGCATTACTGAGCTGTTCCTTTGCATCTCCCGGGGCGAGGGAAGAGAAAGCTAGTTTCCTAGGTTTCTATTTATTCTTAAGTTTCCATGCATACATACACATTCTACGTATTTTCCTCCACCTGCTCCCACCGCGGCTTCCTATTTTCCCTTTTCCAGGCTGCGGATCCTGTCCAATAACAGGACGGTTCTCCTCCTGGTCTCCCTGTTTCTGGTCCTGCCACCTGCCGTTTCTGCTGACGCTTACCTGCCTAAATAACTGAGACTGATGGCCTGCGCAGATCTTTCCATCGTCGATCCGGGGATAGAACTTCTGGCACTTGCGTCAGTCGTAGATGCTGGCGTCGGCCTCATAGGGCATATATGGGCAATCTTCCTGATTCGGGCTCCAGCCGGCCACACTGCAGGCTGTCCCCTCAGAGAGGTCACTGCTAGATGTTGGCAATGGCAGGATGTGAATGTTTTCATTCAGACGAACCTTTGACTGCAGCTGGGGAAAGGAGAGGGAGATGAGGCTGAAATGAGTGCCTTCGCGTTGCAATAGGAAGCCCTTGAAACCTGTTCCTTTATGAATGCAGAACTGCGTTCATAATACAGTGGTACCTCAGGTTACATACGCTTCAGGTTACAGACTCCGCTAACCCAGAAATATTGCTTCAGGTTAAGAACTTTGCTTCAGGATGAGAACAGAAATCATGCTCCGGCGGCGCATTGGCTGCAGGAGGCCCCATTAGCTAAAGTGGTGCTTCAGGTTAAGAACAATTTCAGGTTAAGAACGGACCTCCGGAACAAATTAAGCACTTAACCTGAGGTACCACTATAATGAACTCTAATAAATAGTGAGAGTCGCATGGACTGCAAGAAGATCCAACCTCTCCATTCGGAAGGAAATCAGCCCTGAGTGCTCACTGGAAGGACAGATCCTGAAGCTGAGGCTCCAAGACTTTGGCCACCTCATGAGAAGAGAAGACTCCCTGGAAAAGACCCTGATGTTGGGAAAGATGGAGGGCACAAGGAGAAGGGGACGACAGAGGACGAGATGGTGGGACAGTGTTCTCAAAGCTACCAGCATGAGTTTGACCAAACTGCGGGAGGCAGTGGAAGACAGGAGGGCCTGGCGTGCTCTGGTCCAGGGGGTCATGAAGAGGCGGACATGACTAAACGACTAAACAATAAATAGTGATAATAATCTGATCATACTAATGACCAAAGACCTGGATTCAGCTGAACGAGTCCATTATATTTCACACATGGGGATGGAAGGAGACATTTAGCTGCTTCTGCCTTCAGGATCGGGGCCCTCGGGGGTGCTTGCAGAGTGAGAAAAAGGCTTGGGGTGAGATACCTTGAGCAGACGGATATCATTTGAAAAGGTGCTATCCTTAAACGTATAATTTTCGTGCTTGTAGGATTTGGCCATGCTGTGATACGTTATGGCAAATGTGGGGTAATGTGCTCCCAGGACAACCTTATCAAAACTGGAAAGAAAGCAACAGTCAGGGTCAGAGATCCCAAGAATCAATGCTCTCCCAGTTCCTGTGCAAAAGACCAGCCCCCACCCCATGGCCCTTAATAACAAATTATTATTATTATTAGTAGTACATCGCCCATCAGGCTGGAATGCCCCAAGCACTCTGAGAAACTTCCAACAGAATATACAAAAACACAGCAGAACATCAGACATTCAAAGCTTCTCTCCACAGGGCTGCCTTCAGATGTTTACGGAAGGTCATAACTTTATTTATTTCTTTGACATCTGATGGGAGGGCATTCCACAGGGAGGGCGTCACTACCAAGAAGACCCTCTGCCTCATCCCCTCTAACTTCACTTCTCTCAGTGAGGGAACCACCAGAAGACCCTTGGAGTTGGATTTAAGTGTCTGGGCTGAATGATGGGGGTGGAGACGCTCCTTCAGGGATACAGGGCTGCGACTATTTAGGGCTTTAGTAAAGGTAAAGGGACCCCTGACCATTAGATCCAGTCATGGCTGACTCTGGGGTTGCGGCGCCCATCTCGCTTTATTGGCCGAGGGAGCCGGCGTACAGCTTCCGGATCATGTGGCCAGCATGACTAAGCCGCTTCTGGCGAACCAGAGCAGTGCACGGAAATGCCGTTTACCTTCCCGCCGGAGTGGTACCTATTTATCTACTTGCACTTTGACGTGCTTTTGAACTGCTAGGTGGGCAGGAGCAGGGACCGAGCAATGGGAGCTCACCCCGTCCATCGCGGGGATTCGAACCACCAACCTTCTGATCGGCAAGTCCTAGGCTCTGTGGTTTAACCCACAGCACCACCCGCGTCCCTTGACTGGTGTTAGCTGCCCTGAATAACAATAAAATCAAAGTTCAGAAATCAATTTAGAGGGAATCCATCTAATAAGCATTAGATAATCACCAGGGCTACCTGTCTGAATTAGTCCTACTTGGGCCAGCGAGGAGCCAGGGGAGAATTAGCAGTGGGATCCCAGAGCGTGTAATCTTAATCGGTACCTATTTATCTCCTTGCACTTTGACGTGCTTTTGCACTTTGCACTTTGACGTGCTAGGTTGGCAGGAGCTGGGACCGAGCAACGGGAGCTCACCCCCGTCGCAGGGATTCGAACCGCCGACCTTCTGATCAGCAAGTCCTAGGCTCTGTGGTTTAACCCACAGCGCCACCCGCATCCCAGGGCTTTAGTAGCCAGCATCAATTGTGCTCAGAAGCATACTGAGAGCCAATGTAGATAGTTTGGGACCGGTGTTGTGTGGTCCTGGCAGCCACTCCTGGCTACCAGTCTAGTAGCCACATTCTGTATTAGTTGTAGCTTCTGAGTCACCTTCAAAGGTAGCCCCACGGAGAGCGCATTGCAGTAGTCCGGGCAGGAGATGACCAGAGCATGCACCTCTCTGGTGAGACAGTCTGCGGGCAAGTAGGGTCTCAGAAGGAGCTAGTACCAGAAGGAGCTAGTAGACAGCTGCCTAGGGACAGAATTGCCCTATGCCTCCATGGACAGCTGTGAGTCCAAAATGACCCCCAGGCTGCACACCTGGTCCTTAAGATGTTTTTTTAGGAAGTTGTTTAACAACCATTTTTTCCCCAGCTGGTCTGTGGAGACTAAGGAACAGCTAAGGGAGCTGGGCATGTTTAGCCTGGAGAAGAGGAGGTTAAGGGGTGATATGATAGCCATGGTCAAATATATAAAAGGATGTCACATAGAGGAGGGAGAAAGGTTGTTTTCTGCTGCTCCAGAGAAGTGGACACGGAGCAATGGATCCAAACTACAAGAAAGAAGATTCCACCTCAACATTAGGAAGAACTTCCTGACAGTAAGAGCTGTTTGACAGTGGAATTTGCTGCCAAGGAGTGTGGTGGAGTCTCCTTCTTTGGAGGTCTTTAAGCAGAGGCTTGACAACCATATGTCAGGAGTGCTCTGATGGTGTTTCCTGCTTGGCAGGGGGTTGGACTCGATGGCCCTTGTGGTCTCTTCCAACTCTATGATTCTATGATTCTATGACTCCCTCACAAAGGGAGGCATCCACCACCCCGCAGAGCCCATTGCCCATCCCTGTCTGGCTCGCTTTTATGCGCCACGATGAGCAAGGATCAAGGAGATAGGGGGTTGATTTTACTTGTCCAAGCAGCCTGTCCACATCCTCAGAGGTAACAGGTTGAAATTCATCCCATGCAATTTGACTAGATGGAGCAATGGCACGTTCCTGCCCTGCCCTGCTCCCTTCCAGCAATTAGCTTTACCCTCAATGATCACCACTCCTAAAAAAAAAAGAGGAAGGCCTTAGGGATACTTACTTTGTGCAGCGTGCAGAAGTCATGACCCACTGTTCTCCCACGAGGAATCCACCACAAATGTAACGGTTCTGGGAATCCAGCAAGGCAGCCATGTAGGGTCTGGAGTGAGGAATGGCTCCATTCGGGCAACGATTCTGCCTCCGCAGTGGATCTTCAAGAAGCAAACACAGAGATAAACTGCTACTGCTGCTGCTTACAAATTCTAGAGCGTTGTTGTTTCTGAGCCCAGTTCAAAATTCTGGAGCTGCCTTGGCCCTGTATATCTGAAGGAGAGTCACCACCACCATCGCCTGAGGTCCAGCTCTGAGGGTCTTCTGGCAGTTTCCCTCATTGCGAGAAGCAAAGTCACAGGGAACCAGGCAGAGGGCCTTCTCGGTGGTGGCGCCCACCCTGTGGAACGCCTTCCCATCAGGTATCAAGGAGATAAAGAACTACAGTGGTACCTCAGGTTAAGTACTTCTTTCGTTCCAGAGGTCTGTTCTTAAGCTGAAACTGTTCTTAACCTGAAGCACCACTTTAGCTAATGGGGCCTCCCGCTGCCGCTGTGTGATTTCTGTTCTCATCCTGAAGCAAAGTTCTTAACCCGAGGTACTATTTCTGGGTTAGCAGAGTCTGTAACCTGAAGCGTCTGTAACCTGAAGCGTATTTAACCCGAGGTACCACTGTATGTCACTTTTGGAAGACATGTGGAGGTGGCCGTGGATTGGGAAGCTTTTAACGTTTGATGTTTTACTATGTTTTTATATGTGCCAAATAAAAGCCATGGGGCAGGAGAACAGTTCACTGTCCCAACCCGGAGATCCGAATTTTGGGGATGGAACCTTTAGCCCTTGTGCAATGCAAAGCAGGTGCCCTGCCATTGATCTAGGCATACAAACGGCACTCATACCCTAATAATAATAATAATAATAATAATAATAATAATAATAATAATTTATTTATTTATACTCCGCCCATCTGGCTGGGTTTCCCCAGCCACTCTGGGTGGCTTCCAACAAAACTAAAATACAATAACCTATTAAACATTAAAAGCTTCCCTAAACAGGGCTGCCTTCAGATGTCTTCTAAAAGTCTGGTAGTTATTTTTCTCTTTGACATCTGGTGGGAGGGCGTCCCACAGGGTGGGCGCCACCACCAAGAAGGCCCTCTGCCTGGTTCCCTGTAACTTGGCTTCTCGCAGGGAGGGAACCGCCAGAAGGCCCTCAGCGCTGGACCTCAGTGTCCAGGCAGAATGATGGAGGTGGAGACGCTCCTTCAGGTATACTGGACTGAGGCCATTTAGGGCTTTAAAGCACCCTAAGCATCTGAAACAGAAGGAATGAGGTTGGCTTGGCCCCAAACTGTAGTAGAAATGGGCTCGTGAGTTAGCGGGTTTTACTGACCTGTTTGGGCCAAGGAGAAGGACAGCAGTAGCAGAAGAACCTGGCAGAGTCTCCACATCTCGATGCTTGAAAAGCAGGGAAATGCCTGGCGCTTATCTCTTCTGCCTCTTGACTCCATAGCTTTTATTATGTCCACCCTCTGGACCCCACCTTCCCCAGGAAGCCACAATCTAGACTTGAGATCTGATGGGCGAATCTTTACTACCCCACCCACCTATCTATGGCCATCAGATAGCAAGACAGTTTGTGGGGTTTCGTTTTGTTGGGGCCAGATAAGGAGACTGGGAAAGGGGAAACAGAGTGAACCCTTAGTGTCGAAATACTTTTGGGGGTGTGTGCAAAGATTGGGGTGCTGCCTCGCTGTATGCAGAGAACCTCTCCCTTACCAATAGAAAGGCTTCATGCAGAATCTAAATCTGGACATGGGAATCCAAGCTCCTTGACCGTGCCTTTGGAGGTGGGTTGGCAAGGAGGGACGTTGTCGAGTCACCACCTGCGTACAATGGTACATTGGTTTGCATACATCTTGGATTATAAACACATTAAACTCGGAAGTGCGTGTCCCGGTTTGCAACCTGTTTTTGGATTACAACCCATTTTTTTTTGGATTACGAACAAATTGGTTATGGAGGCCCCATTGCTGAAAGCGCGCCTTGGGTTACAACCTGTTTTGGTTTACAAACGGACCTCCGGGGTCCCTTTACCTTTACCTAAGAGCTGATCTGGGTAATTCACTGCCCCATAAGTTGCAGTTGTGCCCTCATGCCTCAGTTATGCCACGGAGGTGGCTTGCCCCTATGTATTGTGTCTTGCCTGATTATTGTCTCTTACGTTTCTCTTATGTTGGGGAGTTTGGCGGGTCTGGGAGCCTGGCCACGGAAGAGTAGAACTCGCGGACATCTGGCAGAGATGAACGTTAGAAACTGGGAGTTCCAGAACTTAACTATGCAGTGCTAAAAGATGGCCTGCTTTTGCTCTGTGCCGAATCTTTCCACATTCCTCCTCGCCAGTCCCAATGGGCCTCATCCATGTCCTTTTCTAACTAGAGGTTCCCAGAATGGAAACAGGGACCTTCTGCTTGCAAAGCAGGGATCTACTGCCAAGCTCCCTGTTAAGTTGTGGGCGGACATATCAGACGACACAGCGATTCTTCAAACAGCTCTTGTTTATTCACAGGCCAGAACAGAACTGAACTGACGGGTTTCAGCCAGCCTGCTTACATAGAGCTCCAGTACAACGTAACTGTAACAACTTTCTGTATCTATCCAATCACTGAACATCACTTTCGATAATAATAATAATAATAATTTATTATTTGTACCCCGCCCATCTGGCTGGGTTTCCCCAGCCACTCTGGGCGGCTTCCATAGAAACAAAAAATACAGTAAAATATCACAGATTAAAAACTTCCCTGAACAGGGCTGCCTTAAGATGTCTTCTAAATGTCAGGTAGTTATTTATCGCTTTGACATCTGATGGGAGGGCGTTCCACAGGGCGGGCGCCACTACCGAGAAGGCCCTCTGACTGGTTCCCTGTAGCTTTGCTTCTCGCAGTGAGGGAACCGCCAGAAGGCCCTCGGCGCTGGACCTCAGCATCCGGGCAGAACGATGGGGGTGGAGACGCTCCTTCAGGTATACTGGGCCGAGGCCCTTTAGGGCTTTAAAGGTCAACACCAGCACTTTGAATTGTGCTCGGAAACGTACTGGGAGCCAATATAGGTCTTTTCAAGACCGGTGTTATGTGGTCTCGGCGGCCGCCCCCAGTCACCAGTCTAGCTGCCGCATTCTGGATTAGTTGTAGTTTCCGAGTCACCTTCAAAGGTAGCCCCACGTAGAGCGCATGGCAGCAGTCCAAGTGGGAGATAACTAGAGCATGCACCACTCTGGAGAGACAGTCCGCGGGCAGGTAGGGTCTCATCCTGCGTACCAGGTGGAGTTGGTAGACAGCTGCCCTGGATACAGAATTGACCTGTGATCCCTTATTTGCATATGTGGACCTGAGTAAAAACTATTTGCAGTATCCCCCTGCTGGCCCAGGGTGAGAAATTCAGTACATAACACTCCCCATATCAAAGTTTTTACTGGCAGCTGCTGTGCCTTGCGATGGGTGAGGTGTAAATTAGGGAGCTCAACAACTGGTCAGGCAGAGAAGCAGCTCATTCCAGTTTCCTCTCCATCCTGCTCTCTGCTGAGTTCCACAAGGGAGCTACAAAAAACACAAGAGCTACAAGCATGGCAAGCGAGCACATGCTTCACGCTGTTATGACTGCCATCATCCCATTTGTCAACAGGTTAGGAACCTTTGGCCCTCCAGATGTTGTTCTTCTGTAGCTCCCATCAGCCCCAGCGACGGATGAGCAGCTCTGCCAATTCCGGGTTCAATCCGTTCCTCCTTTCCCCAGTCTCCTTATATGGCCCCAACAGAACCAAACCGCACGAATCGTTTTGCTATCTGGTTACCATCGATGGGTGGAGGTGGGGTCTGTCACATGGATGAAGAGAAAAGATAAATGTGTTGAAATCCGCCTATCGGATCTCAAGTCTAGATTGCGGCTTCCGGGCGAAGGTGGAGTCCAGAGGGTGGAGGTAGTGAAAGCCGCAAGGGTTAAGATGCTGAAGAGTTAAGATCAGGCATCTCCCTCCTTGGCAAGCATCAAGATGTGGAAACTCTGACTGCCTCTTCTACTCCTTCTCTTTGGCCCAGATGGATGACCAAAGCAACAACCCACCCATTATTCCTGGCCATTGGTCATGTTTGCTGCAGTTGATGGGAGTCCAGCAATCTTTGGAGGACGAAAGGTTCCCCACCATTGTCCAAATGTCTGGACTGACCAAAACTCCACAGATCTCTTCCTCGTCCTCTGGGTCAGGGGAGGCGAATCTGTCACATTCCAGATGTTGTTGGACTCCATCTCCCATCAGCCCCAGGCAACATGGCCAATACGGGGCGACTGGAGTTGACACCCATCAACATCTGGATGGCCAAAAGATTAACCACACCTCCCTTTAGATGATTCCACCTTCCTCCATCCTCCCTCTTCAGCCTGGCATAGATTTGGACTTTGCGTTCTGTAAACTGCTGGAGGGCAGGAATAGCTATACGAGATGATTCCTCGTGCCACGCCGTCGCACACCAAGGGGCCACCCGAATCGCCCTGTGGAGAGGAGAGAGAGAACAAAGATGGCAGCTGGGGGAAGATTTGGATCCATGTCATGGCAAACTCTGGTGCTTGAGCCAGGGCAAACTGCCAGGTTTCTGCTGGTTGGATCTGTCAATTCTGAATGGAAATATTGGTGGGCGTTTAATATAATTATAATTTTTATTTATACCCCGCCCTCCCCAGCCAAAGCCGGGCTCAGGGCAGCTAACAAGCAATAATAAAAACAAGTTGAATGACTACAAGTTAAAAACAAGATTAAAATACAACATTAAAATATTGAAACATTAAAATATTAAAATGTAGCCTCACAGGAGGAGAAAGGAAAAGAAAGAGGCGGAGGGAATCAAACTGGCTCCAAACCAAAGGCCAGGTGGAACAACTCTGTCTTACAGGCCCTGCGGAAAGAAATCAGATCCTGCAGGGCCCTGGTCTCATGAGGCAGAGTGTTCCACCAGGCCGGAGCCAGTGCTGAAAAGGCCCTGGCTCTGGTTGAAGCTAATCTGACTTCCTTAGGGCCCGGGACCACTAGGGTGTTGCTATTTATGGACCTTAAGGTCCTCCGTGGGGCATACCGGAAGAGGCGGTCCCGTTGGTACGAGGTATGAGATTTCCCCTAACATACACATTTTGGTAGGCAGTGGCTTTCTAATCAAATGCATTTTTGTACCTGGGGGTTGGCATACATTGTATGAAGCCATTGGGTTGGTCAGGCCAGGCAGGGATGTAGCTAGCTAGAGCACTGGGGGTGGGATGAGCCACCCATGGGGGCACCACAGTGATCCATGGATGGGGGGCAGGGTGATCTGCCCAGGGGGCACGGTGGCAAGTTGCCCACGGAGTCCGCCTGGAGAGACGCGTGGCTTGGGCATGCTGCAGGCCAGGCCCCACGGTAAGTGCCACCCCCACGGTGTGTTATTTTGTCACCCCTCAGGGATGACACCCCCTTCCTACGCCCCTGAGGCCAGGTATAAGTAGACTGGCATCTGCCCATGTCTGTTTTGCTGGACAGGAGAAGGATCCCTCAGAAGGGTGGGATCCATAACGAGAAAGGCGTGTAGCGCTCCCCCTTCCGATCCTGTCACTTGCAGCTTCTGCTGACTCACCGTGAAAACAGTCTCTGGCTTATTACACCCGTCAAATTAGCGAAAATGTATAAAAGTTAATAATAAATGTTGGAAATGTAAAGAAAAAGAGGGAACATTTTAACACATGTGGTGGGAATGTAAAAAGGTGAAAAGCTTCTGGGAGATGATATATAATGAGATGAAAAAAATGTTGAAATATACATTTATAAAGAAACCAGAAACATTTTTACTGGGCATTGTTGGGAGTGATATAAACAGAAAGGAATTTAAGCTCTTTTTATATGCAATAACAGCAGCAAGAAAATTATTGGCCCCAAAATGGAAGCAAGAAGAATTACCGACGATCGAAGAATGGAGGATGAAGTTAATGGACTATGCAGAACTAGATAAATTAACAGGAAGGATTCGAAACCGGCAGGACCAGAAATTCACGGAAGACTGGAGTAAATTTACGGACTATTTGAAAAGTATTTGTGAAGACCAGACGACGTTTGTAGGTTTGCAAGAAGTTTTGTGAGGAGTATTATTGGATGTATTGCAAAAATGGAGAAGGGGAAGGATGATTTTTTAAGAGATGTAAAGGCAATATAAAGTTAAGAAATGCATAAGAAGTGGTTAAAACGGTGGATCATCAGAGGTGCTGATGGAAGTCTAAAAAGATTGTATATGTGATACGTTTTGTGGTACGTTTTATAATTTATATGTTAAAATCAATAAAAATTATTTAAAAAAGAAAAAGAAAACAGTCTCTGGCTTGTCGGATCTTCCAGCACAGACCTTCCCATCATTGAGATTAGGATACGGCTTCCCATACTGTCAGAGTTGGCGACATTGGTCTCATAGAGTGTGTCTGGTGACCAGTCTTTGTAAACTGTTGGCTCATCTTCAGCTTCTGGTCCACCAAGACCCCTAGATCCTTTCCACATGGACTGCTAGTAAGCCAGGTATCCCCCATCCTATATTTGTGCATCTGAATCCAGTCGCTCATCAAACTGTGACATGTAAGACCATATGAACTCAGCGCAGAACCACCAGGACCTCAAGTCTCTTGATCAGTTCACAAAACAGATGTAAAAGTCTTTGCACCTTTCAACCAAGCGACCACAGAAACCATTAGGAATCCAGTGTCCTGTCACAAAGTAGGGCAGCATACAAATTTAATTAATTAATTAAGATGAAGAAGAAGAAGAAGAAGAAGAAGAAGAAGAAGAAGAAGAAGAAGAAGAAGAGGAAATTAATAGTAACAGCCACTCGAGTGTATCGAAAGCTGGTCTCTGATTTTGTCTTAATGAATTACATTATCTTCGCTCCTCTGATTTCGTAAACCTTTGCTTAAAAAGTCTCCAATTCTGGGATCACTCCCTTTCTCATTTATCCCAATCTCCCCATCTGACTATCTGATTGCCGTTCGTGGTGGGACCAGCCACGTAGCTAGCGAGAAACGATAAGCCTGCCTATCAGATCTCAAGTCCAGATTGTGGCTTCCTGGGGAAGGTGGAGTCCAGAGGGTGGAGGCCATAAAAGCCACGGGGTCAAGGGGCTGAAGAGTTAAGCGCCAGGCATCTCCCTCCTTGGCAAGCATCAAGATGTGGAGACTCCGTCAGGTTCTTCTGCTACTGCTGTCCTTCTCCTCGGCCCAAACAGGTGAGTAAAAGCACCATGGCAGATGATACACCATGGCGTTTCTTCTCCCTGAAATCCTCCTCCCAGCCGTCCTTCCCTCTCTGGTCACGACTTGACTGTCTGTCTCCAGGCACTGTGGTCATCTGCAAGGGATTCCCACATGGCAGGGTTGATGTTGCCAGTCTTCATGTTAGCAGACCCCTTTGTAATGCAGAGTTGGTCTGCCAATCATAATAATGGCGTTATGAGACTCATATCTCAATTCCAGAATGAGCCACTCTTGGCAGTCCGTGCAGGAGAATACTGAGCTAATGGATGGAGGGGTCTTCTTATGACTGCTCTTGGCTTTCGCTTCACTAATGTCTTTGCTAGAAAAACCAATTGTAAGCTCATTGGGACAGTGACCCGTCCTTTTTGCTCCCCCAATAATTTTGAATGTGTGGAAGACACCCCAGAGCATGCGAGGAGGAGGAGGAGGAGCTGATCTCTGCATACGGTTCTTGCAGATCCATGGCGGAGTCAGATTGTTGGGGGACATGAAGCCCAGCCCCACTCTTCATTTTTCTAAGCAGATTTCAGGCCACAACAGTTCCTGGAGGCTTCCTGTTCTATCAGGCCACAGACTAAAATCTGAGCTGGGCATGATAAGAGGGGAATCTGTGCTGAATCAATACAGGGCTGAGACTAAGGCTGGGGGATCTACTAACAGGGTTTAGTCACCCACCAAGGTAAATGACACTGTGTGGGGGTTGGACTGGCTTCTGTGATCCCATGATTCTGCCCTGCTTTTTTCTCCTTGATTTTTCCTTGGGGAGGGGCTGTATCTCAGTGGAAGAGAAGCTGCTTTGCATTGCAAAAGTCCCAATTTCAATCCGCAACAGCATATCCAGGTTGGAGAGACCCAGATCTTTCTTCCTTGGGAGCCACTTTTGGCAGTCCTTGCAGGAGAATCCTGAGCTAATGGAACGAAGGAGGTCTCTTTCGCTTCTCTAACTTCCTTGCTAGGAAAATGAATAGTAAGCTCATTGGGATGGTGACCCGTCCTTTTTGCTCCCCCAATAATTTTGAATGTGTGGAAGACACCCCAGAACATGCAAGGAGGAGGAGGAGCTGATCTCTGCATACGGTTCTTGCAGATCCATTGCGGAGTCAGATTGTTGGGGGGCACGAAGCCAAGCCCCACTCCAGACCCTACATGGCTTACTTGAGGAGTCCCGTGAGCTCCTGCGGCGGATTCCTGGTGGCGCCCCAGTGGGTAATGACGGCTGCGCACTGCGTTGGGTAAGTCTCACTAATCCCTCCTTGATTCTTAGCAGGGATGGTCATAGAATCATAGAATTGTACAATTGGAAGGGACTGCAAGGGTCCTCTGGTCAGCTAAAGCACCCATGACAGGTGGCCACCTAACCATCAAGGTGCGCAGCTGGTTGTATGGAGGGGGCCTGGTCTTCTGCATGGGGGCCAGGAGGGGATTGAGTCCTGGCATCTCTGACACTAACTGATGCTCTCTTTCCAGCAATTTTATTGTCATCTTGGGGGCACATAACATCTCCGCTGAAGAACCCTCTCGGCAAGTGTTCAGCATTGAGGCTAACTACCCACACCCTGAATATGATGGGTCCACCACCTCAAACGATATCCGTCTGCTCAAGGTAACTGGTACAACAATCTAGTTGAACGTGGGCCTTTAATATTATCCATACTGTAATATTATTATTTGGGACACGGGTGGCGCTGTGGTCTAAACCACAGAGCCTAGGACTTGCTGATCAGAAGGTTGGTGGTTCGAATCCCCACGACGGGGTGAGCTCCCGTTGCTCAATCCCTGCTCCTGCCAACCTAGCAGTTCAAAAGCACGTCAAAGTGCAAGTAGATAAATAGGTACCGCTCCGGCGGGAAGGTAAACGGCGTTTCCGTGCGCTGCTCTGGTTCTCCAGAAGCGGCTTAGTCCTGCTGGCCACATGACCCGGAAGCTGTACGCCGGCTCCCTCGGCCAGTAAAGCGAGATGAGCGCCGCAACCCCTGAGTCGGCCACGACTGGACAATGGTCAGGGGTCCCTTTACCTTTTATTATCAATACAGTCTGCTGATTTCTTTTGCCCAAAGTTCCCCATTTCAGAGGCATCAGATTCCCCGAAGGGCTTCCTCAAGCAACACTAAACCAATGAGCTCTCTCCCACCTCTCCTTTCCACAGCTGAATTCCAAAGCTACTCTGAATAAATACGTCAACACCCTGAGCTTGCCCACATTCAACTTTGACCTCTCCCATGGGACCTCCTGCAGCGTGGCAGGATGGGGCCGGGTTTACAAAGACTGGTCACCAGACACTCTCTACGAGATCAATGTCGCCATCTATAACCGTTGGTGGTGCAGTCGGTGGTATACAAATCTCAATTATGGGAAGGTCTGTGCCGGGAGACCCGGCGAGCCTGAGGATTCTTTCAAGGTGAGAGCCAGCAGAAGCAGCAAGTGACAGGATCGGGTGGGGGTTATGGATCCCACCCTTTTGAGGGATCGTTCACTTCTCCAGGAAAATGGACATGGGCTTGTATTCTGCTAAGGGCTCCTTCCCACTTTCACTTGTCCCTCTGCTTTCCCGGGGGGGGGGTCACTCCTTAGCGCTCAATTGGAGCAATCGGCCATCAAGCTTTGCATGGATTGCCATTTGTTCCGATTTAGAACTTAAATAGTCGGTTTTCCTGGGAAAGGAAGGAGTGGACGAGCCCCAAGTCGTACTGAGAGTAGAGCCACTAGTAACGTGGCAGTTTGCCCTGGTTCTGGGACGTGGGTGGCGCTGTGGGTTACACCACAGAGCCTAGGACTCGCCGATCAGAAAGTCGGCGGTTCGAATCCCCGCAACAGGGTGAGCTCCCTGCTCCTGCCAACCTAGCAGTTCGAAAGCACGTCAAAGTGCAAGTAGATCAATAGGTACCGCTCTGGCGGGAAGATAAACAGCGTTTCCATGCGCTGCTCTGGTTCGCCAGAAGCGGCTTAGTCCTGCTGGCCACCTGACCCGGAAGCTTTACGTCGGCTCCCTCGGCCAGTAAAGTGAGATGACCACCGCAACCCGAGTCGGTTATGACTGGACCTAATGGTCAGGGGTCCCTATACCTTTAACTTTACCTTGCCCTGGTTCAAGCACAAGAGTTGGCCACAATGTGGATCCAATTCTTCCCCCCAGCTGCCATCTTTGTTCTCTCTCTCTTCTCCACAGGGAGATTCAGGTGGCCCCTTGGTGTGCGATGGCGTGGCAGAAGGAATCGTCTCGTATGGCAAGCCCTGCCCTCCTGGTGTTTACACTCGAGTCGCCCAGTACCTTGACTGGATCAAGGAAACCATGAAACGGTGAACAGAAGAAGCAACCGCGGTGACATTGTGCCTTCTTTCCCACCCCTAATGCTTTTGCTTGCTGAATAACCTGGTTGGCTTGCATTCTGCAACAACACACACACACACACACACACACACACAGAGAGAGAGAGAGAGAGAGAGAGAGAGAGAGAGAGAGAGACCCTCAATGGCTGCGAAATTAGATCTATCAGTTGTTTCATACAGGATGGTGTTTGGGCAAGTTCCTTCACTGCCTCCCGTCCCCTTGAAGAAAACCCTTCCACGGACCTCCATCTCCCTCAAACAGCTCCTCCCTTCTCCCTTACTTCCCCTAATGCAGGGATGGAAGACCTGTGGCCCCCAGATGCTGGAGTCCAGCAACATCTGGAGAGCCAAAGACGGTCCAAATGTCTGGATAGCATCATGTTCCTTGAGATCAGGAGGGAAGGACCTGTGACTCTCTAAATGTGGCTGGACTCCAACTCCCATCATCCTGGCCAGTTTAGCCAAATGTGAGGGCTGATGGGAGGTGAAGTTCATCAACGTCTGGATGGCCATTATGCCAGCCACCTCTGCTTTAGAGGACTCCTCTGGCTCTTCCTTCCAGAGCCCCGCAGACCTGCCATTGAAACCTGCATTCTGGGTCAAGGTCAGGTGAAGCCCCTTGAGATTGAGGGATGTGGGACATTGTCCTCTCAGCCAACAGGGAAGGATTCTATCTCATTTCTAAAGGGATCCTCTCTGTATTTCATCAGCTCCCCCAAAGACCATTCTAACCTCTAGGATTCCTAGATGCACATCCAAAACACTTTGGCACCCACAACACCTCACAAATAACCTTTTCACAGAATAAACTCCCCTAGGCTGTGGGTTAGGGACGCGGGTGGCGCTGTGGGTTAAACCACAGAACCTAGGGCTTGCTGATCAGAAGGTCGGCGGTTCGAATCCCCGTGACGGGGTGAGCTCCTGTTGCTTAGTCCCTGCTCCTGCCCACCTAGCAGTTCGAAAGCACGTCAAAGTGCAAGTAGATAGATAGGTGCCGCTCCGGCGGGAAGGTAAACGGCGTTTCCGTGCGCTGCTCTGGTTCGCCAGAAGCGGCTTTGTCATGCTGGCCACATGACCCGGAAGCTGTACGCCGGCTCCCTCTGCCAGTAAAGTGAGATGAGCGCCGCAACCCCAGAGTCAGCCACAACTGGACCTACTGGTCAAGGGTCCCTTTACCTTTACCTTAGGCTGTGGGTTGCGATGTATTGTAGGAATGGAGGAGACATCTAATATTCAGCCTGGATTGAAAGTTCACACTTTCTGAAACAAGATTCACACCAAAAACAGTCATCCTCCAAAATGAACATTTCTCCAGATTTTGCCTCTCAGGTCTCCAGCCAAGTCATGTTTATGTGAATGCACATAATGGGGGAAAAGTGTGTCTTTTGCTGCATGGAATAGTTTTTTTAAAAAATGCAAACAAAAAATGCATTATCTTAGGGCAAATTGCTTTGCAAAAGAAAATGTGAATATTCGGCACAATTGCGTACCAAAGTGTGTATCCAAAGAAATTCACATTAAAATGCTGTTGAATTTTCATGAGTTTTTCTTTAAAAAATAAATAAATACCCTGCAAACTTTTACAGATACATGGATAACTGAACTTAAATGGCAAACTTAAATGGCAAAGCTGTCCATGGAGGCGCAGGTTAATTCTGAGTCCAGGGCAGCTGTCTACCAGGTCCACCTGGTACGCAGGCTAAGACCCTACCTGCCTCTCTGCCACTCTGTCTCGCCAGAGTGGTGCATGCTCTGGTTATCTCCCGCTTGGACTACTGCAACACGCTCTACGTGGGGCTACCTTTGAAGGTGACCCGGAAACTGCAATTAATCCAGAATGCGGCAGCTAGACTGGTGACTGGGAGTGGCTGCCAGGACCACATAACACCGGTTCTGAGAGATCTGCATTGGCTCCCAGTATGTTTCCGATCACAATTCAAAGTGTTGGTGCTGACCTTGAAAGCCCTAAACGGCCTCGGCCCAGTAGACCTGAAGGAGCGTCTCCACCCTCATTGTTCAGCCCGGACACTGAGATCCAGCACCGAGGGCCTTCTGGCGGTTCCCCCATTGCGAGAAGTGAGGTTACAGGGAACCAGACAGAGGGCCTTCTCGGTGGTGGCACCCGCCCTGTGGAACGCCCTCCCTTCAGATGTGAAGGAAATAAGCAGTTATCTTCTCTTTAAAAGACATCTGAAGGCAGCCCTGTTTAGGGAAGTTTTTAATATTTAACGCTGTACTGTTTTTAACACTTGATTGGGAGCTTCCCATAGTGGCTGGGGAAACTCAGCCAGATGGGTAGGGTATAAATAATAAATTATTATTATTACTTAGGTGGATAACTGGAGATTGGAAAAAGAAAAAAGGTGCCGGGAGGGAAGGACTAAAACATGAATCAAAATTAAGGCACCAATTCATAAAATAATAAGAGTTGGAAGGTACGACAAGTGCCATATAATACAACCCCCTGCAATGAAGGAATCTTTTGCCCAACGTGGGGCTCAAACCCACAGCCCTGAGAGTGGCTCCCCATTTGTGGAATGCTCTCCCCAGACAAGCTCACCAGCCTCCTTTGTTACATAACTGTGGCCTTTTAGATGTGTTTCCTTGAGGGGTGTGTGTGTGTTGTTGGTTTGTTTTCATTCTTGTTTTGGTTTCATTATGCATTCTTGCAATCTCATTTTGTATTGGATGAAGGGCTGGCATTTTGTTGTTGTTGTTTAGTCGTTTAGTTATGTCCGCCTCTTCGTGACCCCCTGGACCAGAGCACGCCAGGCCCTCCTGTCTTCCACTGCCTCCCGCAGTTTGGTCCATGCTGGTAGCTTCGAGAACACTGTCCCACCATCTCGTCCTCTGTCGTCCCCTTCTCCTTGTGCCCTCCATCTTTCCCAACATCAGGGTCTTTTCCAGGGAGTCTTCTCTTCTCCTGAGGTGGCCAAAGTCTTGGAGCCTCAGCTTCAGGATCTGTCCTTCCAGTGAGCACTCAGGGCTGATTTCCTTCAAAATGGAGAGGTTGGATCTTCTTGCAGTCCATGGGGCTCTCAAGAGTCTCCTCCAGCACCAGAATTCAAAAGCGTCAATTCTTCGGCAATCAGCCTTCTTGATGGTCCAGCTCTCACTTCCATACATCACTACTGGGAAAACCATAGCTTGAACTTATACGGACCTTTGTTGGCAAGGTGATGTCTCTAGGGCTGGCATTACCTCCCAAAAAAACCATGCAAAACAAGGTTCCAGTCCTCATTATCTTGCCTGCACCTGCAGCAGGTGTTTGCTCTCTCAGTCTAATAATAATAATAATAATAAATTACAAACTTTATTTCAGTCACAGACTAGCATAAGATACAAACATGGAAATAAAATAAGGTACACAAGACTTAAAGAAGAGACGGATAAAAGCAAATAGTTAGAAGTGGTTATAACTCACATACAATTATTATTATTATTAATCCAGCATTAGAAAGCCAGAAGAAGGAAGGAGGGAAGTCAACTCTTAGGAGTAAATGTAAAGTAGTGTGTATATGCATAGTATGTAATCATAAAATCGATAAAGATTATCTTCCAAAAACAAAAAACAAACAAACTTTTTATGGTCACAGACTAGCATAAGGTATAAACATGGAGATAAAATAAGGCTTAGACTTAAAGAAGAAAGGGAGAAAAGCGAATAGTGAAAAGTGGTTATACTGTAACTCACATAAAATTGTTGTTGTTGCAAATTTTATTATGGTCACGGACTTGCATAAGATACAAACATGGAAATAAAATAAGGCACATAAGACTTAAAGAAGAGCGGGAGAAAAGCAAATAGTTAAAAGTAGTTATAACTCACTAATAATAATAATAATAATAATTGCAAACTTGTATTATGGTCACAGACTAGCATAAGATACAAACATGGAAATAAAATAAGGTATATAAGACTTAAAGAAGAGGGGGATAAAAGCAAATAGTTAAAAGTGGTTATAACTCACATAAAATTTATTATTATTATTATTATTATTAATCCAGCACTACAAACTTTATTATGGTCACGAACTTGCATGAGATACAAACATGGAAATATAATAAGGCACAAAAGACTAATAATAATAATAATAATAATAATAATAATAATAATAACAATAATAACAAAAACCACACACACACAACAACAGAATATCGCCGCTCCCTCTCCAAGCCTCTTTCCCTTAGCACCCCGACCCTCTCCTCCTAGCGCCCTATCCCTGCACATCCATCCATGGCTGGCGGGGTGATGGTTTTGGTGGGGGCGTATTTTTGGGGTGTTGCTGTGGGTGGCGTGCGCGCGCGCCCTCGGAGCTGCTGCGTCCCGACGGCAGGTGGTGCTGGCGCTCAGCCGCAGGAGAGGAGAGGCGCCTCCGCAGCCGCCATTAAACAATAGCTGGGGGAAGGCGGAGCGGCGCGCACGGGTGTCCGTCTCCTTTTTGGCTGGGGCCAGGCCGGAGGCCGCGGGGAGGGTCGCATCCGGAGCCGGGGAGAGCGGGAGCAAGACCCGGAGCGAGAGGAGGAGCGAGATCGGGAGTGGAAAGGAGAGCAGAGAGAGAGAGGGGGGCGCGCGTGTGCGTCTGCGCCCAACCTCGCCAAACCTCGCCAAGGACGCATCACCGGGGCCCTGCTTCCCAGGCGCAAAAAAGCAAGGAGGCCGTGCGCCTCGCGAGGTTTTGGGGTCTTATTTTTCTCCTTTTCCGCCCCTTCTTCTTTCCCCCTCCGGAGCTGTCGCTTGCGGAGGAAGGAGCCGCCGGATCAGCCCAGAAAAGCCAGGGGGAAAGGAAAGCGAGCGCGCGCTCTCCGGGCCTGTTTTGCGGACGCCTTTGGCGCAAGCGGGAGGAAGCGCGCTCCGCATCCGCCGCCGCCGCCGCAGCCCTGCGCTTCGGATCGGGGCCTGACATGATGTTTCCTCAAAGCCGGCACTCGGTGAGGGGGGGGGAGAGAAGCGAGGGGGAGGGGAGTTGGGCGCAAAGAGGGCGGGGGCGCGAGGGATTGGGGTGCCCGTCCGGGGGGAGGGAAAGGGCGGGGTGCCAGGGGGGGAGGGGTTGGGTGCTGAGGTCCAAGGGAGGAGAGGGTTGGGGTTCCCGGAGAAGGAAGGATGGGGGGTTTGGGGTGCCAGGAGAGGAGTAGGGTGCTATGGGAAAGAGGGGGGCCACTATTGGGGTGTCGGAAAGGGGTGGGGTGCAAAGGGGGAATCGAGGGAGGAGAGGAGATTAGGAGGGGTTGGGGTGCTGGGGAAGGAAATTTGGGGAGTTTGAGGTGTCGGGGTAGAGGATTGGGGTGCCCAGAGAAGGAAGGACGGGTTTGGGGTGCTAAGGAAAGAGGGAAGGACCGGGGTGCCCAGAAGGGAGGATCGGGGTGCCAGGCGGAAGGGCAACCGGTTGTAAAGAGAGCAAGGAGGCAGGAAGAGGTTGGGGCGCCCAGAGGGGAAATTTGGGGGAGGAGTGAGGGGTTTGGGGTGCCAGGGAGGGGTTTGGATGTCAAGGAGAACACGGAGAGGATTAGGGTGCAAAGGGGGGGGGAAGAGGGAGGAAAGGAGGAGGTTGGGGTGTTTGGGGAGGGTTGGGGTGCCGAAGGGAAACTCCCCAGGCCGGATGTGAGAAAGGGGAGCGGCTGTCGCCTTCCTCCTGCACGTGTCCAGGGCTGCGGGGGGGGGGGCAGGGGCTTGGCAACAGGGGAGAGAAAGTTTCCAGGCTGGCTTTTGGCCCAGGAAGTGGAGCAGTGAGGGTGGGGGGTTTCTCTGGGGTGCAGTTGTGGGGGTTGTGACCCATTGGAGTGCCTTGAGAAATGAGGAAGGGGTCCCCTCGAAGGAGGAGTAAGGAGTGATCCGGGGAGTGGGTTGCTTTTAGTGCTGTTACACACACAGACACACA